TTTTTGGCCACCTATCGCGCGTGAGGCGTGTAGGCCTTGGTGTCTTCGGGTAAGCGTAGATCGAACAACACTATATTTTTTGCAATATCTGTATACGAAAAAGGCTCATCAGGTCCTAGGGCATTAATAGCTGCAAGCGCAGCCTCAATATTAGCCATGGTGGTGGGGATACGACGCGTTGAGGTTGAGGTGGTTGTAAGGCGCGCGCGCACTTTGTGGTCGCGCGCACTTTGTGGTGGGGCTAGTTAAGCTCTAAACCGTCTAGCGGCTTTCCTCGTACGTCACGGAGACAGTCAGTTTACCAGCTTCCAGTTCAAGTCAGATAGTTTACAAAATATTCTGAGTTTGTGTTTTTCATTGGCCACTACTTTAGAGATATTCTATTCATCCCAAGTGCGTTGGTTCCGGACTCAGTAGGGTAACGGTTTTCCTTACTCCTCACCATGCGATGTAACCTTCTCACGTCATACCTCGGGTTAATAGACGGACCTCGACGTTACCCTACTGTAGATCCGTCCCCATCTCCTCTTGCTCGCGCAAAAGAAGCCCGTATGCAGCTTCAGACACCAATCGGAGGCTATGGCAGAGTCGACACCATGTGGATCCATGGTAGTACAACCATGTACCCCGCCAACCTCCTCACTCGGCAGTAATCGTGTATTTGCCGCCAGACCAACCACGACAAGTCAGGCGGTTACCCTACCAGATATGTCACATAAGCCATGGTTGGGGGAACATATACGCAAGTCATAGAAATAGGACATATGGCGGTGGAGCGTCGCGTCGGCGCCGAGCCATATTCATGGAAGAAATCTACAATATGGGGATACTGGGGTAGGTTACCTTGCATCCCCCAACGCTAGCAAGGGGCCGATTAACCTAGTATATGTGGGGAGAGATGAAGTCATCTGGTAGAGATTGAAGATGGGAACACGACGAAAGGCAGCAATACGATCAGGTCGCAAAAGTCTGTCCGCAGGTTACGAAGAGAGCGTGAGTGCCTAAGATGGAGTGCAGGTTTACGCCAAAAAAAGTAGACCAAATAGCACTACAGGGCTATGAGACTAACCCCAGATTCAACCGGAATCATGGTAGATGAGCTAAAGCTTAGCGCTTAGGGATCCACCAGCCCGAGGAGATGTATAAAAAGCGCAGGACATCATGACATGTACAGCTGGTACCGAGCTTCTCAGAGTATCGGGGTCTGGTGGAAACCATGGCCTTCTTTTCAGGAACGCACGCTTCGGCGGCTCTACTCTGGCTTCTAGCATCCACTAGCACGGCACAAAGCCCCTCAAAGTCGGGATACGAATACGCTGATCCGCTCATTGGAACAATCAATGGAGGTCTGTCGGTCATCGAGAGCTTCGGGCACAATGAACTGACCATGTGCAGGCCATGTGTTTCCTGGCGCAACGCTCCCGTTTGGTAGATATGCCACCAGCAGGCTATATCAATTGCACCCCGCTGACTTTACTAGGAATGGCGAAAGCCGGGCCTGACGTGATAGGAGAAAATCAAGGAGGATTCTCGTCAAACGACAGTGAACCAATCTATGGTTTTTCCCATATGCACGACTCTGGCACCGGTGGATCACCGTCGCTTGGCAACTTCCCCATCTTTTCACAGGCAGGATGCCTCAACGACAATATTGATGGATGCCAATACATGAAGGTTTCGCGAGCCAAGCTTCGTAAACAGGGAAGTGTAAATGCCAAGCCTGGATACTTTGACATCACGTTGGTCGACAATATCAGAACCGAGAGTACCGTAACAAATCGTACAGCTCTGTACCGTATGACGTTTCCGGATACACTCGCGACGCCGAACACGCCGCTGAGCCCGCATATCTTGGTCGAGCTCACAGATCTACCAAACTCGCGGAGTGATGGAAATGTCACGGTTGATCCCAAGACTGGGCGCATGACTGGTACCGGAGTCTTTTCACCGTCGTTTGGCATTGGTACATATCGCTCATTCTTCTGTATCGATTTCAAGGGCGCGAACGTCAGGCGCTCGGGTGTCTGGTCCAACACCAGGGCAACAACCAAAAAATCGACTCTAAAGATGCAACTAGATGATGTCCGACAGTCGACAGGCAACCGCCCAGGAGGTGGATGGGTGCAGTTTGAGAAGCCTGAGCAGAACAACCAGATGTTTGCCAGGGTGGGTGTGAGCCTGGTCAGCGAAGACCAGGCCTGTGCGAATGCTGAGCGTGAGATACCTTCGTTTGATTTTGACGGCGTTGTGAAAGCCGCCGAGACTGCGTGGCGCTCCAAGTTCGATGTGATCACGGTCGAGAGTGGAGGTGTAGACGAGAGTTTTCTGACGTCGTTCTGGAGTGGTGTATACCGCTCGATGATCAGTCCGCAAGACTATACTGGCGAAAACCCCCTCTGGAAATCTGATGAGCCATACTACGACTCTTACTACTGCATCTGGGACAGTTTTAGGTCGATCCATCCTCTACTCACATTGCTGGATCCGCACAGCCAGACACAAATGATCAGGAGCTTAGTCGACATCTACCGCCATGAAGGCTGGCTACCCGATTGCCGCATGAGCCTATGCAAGGGCTTCACGCAAGGAGGCTCGAATGCGGATATCGTACTTGCGGATGCTTACCTGAAGAATATCACCGCTGGCATTGACTGGAACCTGGCCTACGAGGCCGTGATCAAAGACGCAGAAGTCGAGCCACCAAACTGGGATGTTGAAGGTAGAGTCTGAACACGGCATCTACACTTTCTGGACAGTTGCTAACGAGATTTATTTTATAGGTCGAGGTGGTCTCGCATCCTGGAAGGCGCTTGGCTACATACCCACCGACAACATCGACGTGGAAGGCGTCGGCACAGAAACACGCTCTATCTCGCGTACCGTCGAGTATGCGTACAACGACTTTGTCATTGCGCTGCTCGCCCGTGAGCTTGGCCACACAGCCGACTACCACAAGTACCTGGGGCGCTCAGCGAACTGGAAAAACATGTTTAAAGCAGACCAACGCAGCAGCTTCAACGGCGTCGACACGGGCTTCGAAGGCTTCCTGCAGCCGCGGTACCAGAACGGAACCTGGGGCCACCAAGACCCCATTTACTGCTCGCCGCTTCTCAACTTCACGGCCTGCTATTTGAATCCGCAGGGCGGAGAAACGTACGAAGGACCCGTGTGGCTATACACGTTCTTCGCACCGGGCGACATGGCGTCGCTCATCGCCACGCTCGGCGGCCACGACCGCTTCGTCGAGCGCCTAAATTGGCTGCACGAATCCGGCATCCTGTACGTCGGCGACGAGCAATCCTTCCTGAACCTGTATCTGTACCACTACGCAGGACGCCCCGCGCTGTCGTCCAAACGCGCGCACCAATACATTCCCTCGCTGTTCAACGACACGCTAGTCGGGATCCCGGGTAACGACGACAGCGGCGCCATGGGCTCCTTCCAGGCGCTCACCATGATGGGATTCTTCCCCAACCCAGGTCAGGACGTATACTTTATCATCCCCCCGTTCTTCGCATCCATCTCCATCAAGAACGCGCAGACGGGCAACACGGCGACAATCAAAAACCTCAATTTCGATACTGCGTACAAGAATATTTACATCCAGTCTGCTACGCTGGATGGGAAGCCTTATACTAGGAATTGGCTCCAGCATAGCTTTTTCATGGACGGCGGCGTCTTGGAATTGACGCTCGGCCCAGAGGAAAGTAGTTGGGGCACCGGAAGTGAGGACGTCCCCCCGAGCTTGGGGCCTGCGGGGAATGCCACGGCGCAGATGGGGAATAACATGCGCCGCGAGTGGGAGGATGTGGAGCTACAAGTACGTATGGATGAGGCTATTTAAGCGGTGACGACGGTTTCTTAATCTTTCCTGCTCACTCTTTGCGGGGAAGACGATAAGGGAAGCAGATGCTGAGGCCGTGTATGAAGCGGCCATATGTCAGTGTTTCAACGTAATCATGTAGTCATGGTGTATACATGAGGAATCTACGCAGTACATGCAGAGTCATTTGCTTACTTGGGTCTTTACCTCTCATCTTACCAGTGTGAAGCTAACTATGTATGTATTCAAAATTAACCTACCCAGTTAGCAGAGTGCGTGCCAGTACGTTACGGAATCACGTGGCCATGGTACGGGCTAGACACAGCTTCACAACCAACTTCACGATACCCAACGTGCTCTGCGCGCCCGCATGACCTGCGTCTTTCACAGCTTACGCACCTGCACGATGGATTGCGCGAAAGCAATTGTCCACGCCCGCTTAACCTAGATAAAAACAAGGGATATAGTCTTCCCCCATGGGTTGAGCCTTTTATCAAGCACCCGATCTGTCTGAACGCAACTAGCCCCCCACAGTATCTCATCGGTATACTAAATAGTGTAAAAGCGGCCATTTCACACGCAGCCATGAGCCACCAAGGTGGCCCCTTCCAGCGCGGAATATGGGACTATCGCAACCTTTTTCGCTCTGCTCCAGCAGGAGGAGGAGGAGGAGAAGGAGGTACGCGTATTACCCAGCCTCTACGAAACAGATACTACACAGCAGGTGTTGATGACCAAGAAACCGCATACGGCAACGACGACATGCACTTCGTGGATCTGGACATGTCGACGAGCAACTGTTTTACCTACAACCACGCTTCATACACCGACCGTGATGGCACTATGCGGGTGGAACGGCACAGACACAGGCCCTCAGAGCCGCTGCACACATTCACCATGTGGCGTGATATGGGAGGACGAGGTGCGGCCGCGGGAGCGAGCGTGAGAGCGAGGATGCAGCGGTCGGTGGGTTTCGGGGGCAGCGGATACGCGGTAGGCGGGGGAGTAAGAGGACATGGGATTTTTCCGTCTGAGAGCTGGAGTATGCGGAATCTGTTTGGCGCGGCTGGCGGGCACGCTGCAGATATCGGTCGCGGCCGTCGGACTAGTCGTTATCGTCGTCACCATGGTGGTCTTGGAGACCTGGGCATCGTGTCTGGTGCCTACGAGGATTTTGTTGGTGGAATGCGACATACACATACGCCTACACGTGTATCGCAGCAGGGCAGGTTCGAGCAGGATACATCTGAATCCACGGTCGATTTCCTGCAGCGACATACGCAGCCCGTGGTGCATGGCGGGGCAAATGCGCCTCCCAACACTAATTGTCCGATTTGTCTAGAGCCACCGTCTGCGACGCACCGCTGTGTGCAGATTAAGGGCATACCCGGGTGTAGCCACCTGATTGGCCGCGAGTGTCTGGAAGAGCTGTTGGAGCACCAGCGGGGAGACAAGAAAGAGTGTCCACTGTGCCGCACGGAATGGCTGCCTGAAGACGGCATACGGCAGGGCGCGGAAGAATGGCAGCGTCTTGCGCCGCTCTATGGTGCTCGTGGCGCTGCTATCGATGCGCCAAGGTCCGGTATGCGTGGCCTAGATGGTGGCGGTGGTTTTCAGCTTGGCAACTTCCAAGGCGACCAGGGCGCGGCATCCTATCCGCCGGATTACTATCACGAGCTACATGCACCCGACTACGAAGACGGATGGTGGTATGCGTGATCGGTCATCGGTTCGTTTGCGAGATTTGATTGAGTTTTGTTCGCTCTGAGCCTCTGCGACAAGGTGCAGATCGCATACCGACTTGAGCCATCGATGGAGTTGACTGATATTTGAACATGATTGATTTTGCTTTAGTGCCTACCGTCACGTAGATATGTAGCCTTGTAGGACTTGGATAAATGCCTCATCGAGCATCGCAGTAGGCTGAGCGAGATGCTCAGGGTGCAGTGCTAGGGGGAACGACTTGGTCAACCAAAAAACAAGAAGGTGTTCTCGATTCTGTCGTCAAGTGCAAGCAGTAATAGCAGGGTCTGGCCAAACTGCAGTGTTGTGTTGGAGACATGACTCGCACCCACAAACTCACCCCAGATATGACATTAGCCTTCCGGTGCAGTACCAAACGCTCGGCTCATGCAGTCGAAACAAGCTTCAAGACACTCACAGGCGCTTTGATAGGGTATACGGATCTGCGCTGACAGTGAGCTGGCTGGTGGGCCAGCCATGGAAACAACAGACAAGTTTTCAGCTTAGCCTGCAGCGGCGATACCTTGGGTGTTTTCAGGTACACCTGCATGGAGTGCCTCCAGCAAACCAGTCTGTGAGGCGAAGTCACTGCATGAGCGAGAGATAAACTCACATTGTAGCGGTGAGGGATATATTCTGTATCAACAGGCACGTTTGGCATCATGATCACAATCATGGTGCTCATGCCGTGACCACCAATAGCTGACGTTGCTTTAGAGTAGACTAGAACTGATCGACGAGCCCCACCGCGGGAGTGGTGAATGTGGATATTGTCAGAGGAAATGCCGCAATAGCACGAGCTGGTAAGATGGCCACAACGAGACGAACTGCCGTACTGCAGACGAGGGGCCTGGCTCACCCCCTCAAGTTAGCATAGAGGCAATCGGATGCTGATGATGAGTGGCTGTGTGGTGGTAGTGGTAGCAAGGTGCAGCTGGCCTGGTGCATGCAAATGGTGGGTGGAATGACCAGGGTGCTGGAACTCCGGAAGACAGGACAAATACCCCGAGTGCTGACGCGGTGCAAAGACCGGCGTGCAGGGCCATGAATGCAATCCACAGAATCCAAGGCGTATTATGTCGCGATGATACGTATGTAGCAAGGACAAGGATACGGAGGCGGTCACCGTGGCAGCAGCATTCCCAGCCTGGCGTCGCGGTGCCTGGCTGCGACAGCTGCGACGGGTTCCAGCCGAGCCATCCGATGGCCAGGCATCGGCCCCGCACAGTGTGACCCGCTTACCATGTAAGCCCCTCCTCATGAATCCATCGATCGCCGCGGCGGGCCCTCATGACTTGAGGCGCCAATAGTAAGTGCACAGAATGTGTTTGGAACCCGCCGTCGAGTCGACATGGTGACGTCTCAGTGCCGTGCCACACCGGTTTCTTGTACGTAACCTCGGGCCTCTGGAAACTCTGGCGATCTGGGGGGAAATGGCATCATGGCACGCGACAGCGATGCTTGGATCCATGCTCGATACCGTCGATGGGAGTAGGCAGAAAGATGCAATTGTGACTTTGCCCTGTCTTGTGCATGGTGGGCCTCGAGAGTGACGTGGGTACGCACGCCGGACCTGTGCCTGTGCCTGTTGCTGCTGCAGAGACGTCTCCATGCGTGCGTGTTTACAGCGTTTCTGCGCCCTTCCGCTATCCTTCTTGGCTGCGGCTTCGTGCGGTTCAGTCGTCAGACACTGGCGTCTAGCTGCAGATCCTGGCAGTCTAGAAAAGGTTCTCCCCGTTGTTCTTGCATGGACCCATCATGCTATGCGAGTCGTGAAAAGAACATCTAGACGTCTGAGGGCACCTGCGCCAGCAACGTGGTTCGGACAGATGGCTAGCTGGTGCCCCCGGCCTGTCAACAAGATGCAGCTGTAAAGTGTAGCTGGCACTGACGCGAGCGACTACTGCGACGGATGAGGGAGCATGCGTGATCATAAAACGCTCACTTGTGGCGTAGTGACCCGTGTCTTTTGATAATGCACGGACGGCCCACTATAAGCAAGGGTACTTGGTCCATGGTTGTTTTGCAGCCCGAGTAGCGAATAGCGAATATTGGCGTGTGTCATTTGTGATTTTTCAACAGCCCTCTAGCTGGTGCATGGCGAACGTGGCGAGAGCTCCGCATTTGGCATATGCAATGCCACCGCCTTAGCTCGTCACGGGATGCCGCTATGTTGGATTGTAACAAACCATGTGCGTCACCAAGCAGACCTGGTGTGTGTGCGGGTGTGCATGTGTCCCTTGGACAGCGCAATCTCGGGGCAAGGCTGGCGATATTGCGGCATTTGCTGTCGCGGGGCCTTGTAAGGCACCGATGCATACAGGGCGAAAATAATTTTTGAAGCTTAATCGATTACACCGCTAGAACGGGAAAGCTTCGAGTGAAAAAAAAACCTGGGGAAGCGCTACGGCTACACACTGGTCCAGGGGTAACAGGGGGACAAATGGCGCATGGCTGGCGTATCCGGGTTGCACCACGTTTGTACTAGGAAACAATCTGCTGCTCCAATCGCATTACATTGGCCCGGGCTGGTGTGTGGTGCATGCATCGGAGCCTCTCGTGTGGAACTTGTCGTGACGGTGCGGTTCGTCGTGTTTCTGATTGTGCGGTGAGTATGCCCGATCGTGATGGGCCAAGGTCATTCGATCCCCTGGCAATACTGTCCGCCGCTGCGTATAAAGCTGCCCCGGGCTGCCCTCTCTCGAAGCAGCAAAACATCAGTAGCCCTAGAGCCAATCCAGAGTTTCCAATTTGAACTCCTTGCAAGACGGGATCGACACCAGAGAACTACCCCCATACAAACCTACAACCACTGCCTGCACCCATCACATTCCACTTTCTCGTCTATCAAATTTCGCCTCGCACACATCATCACCATCATCATCGTCATCATGCCTGCTCTTCCGTTCAATTCTTCCGCTGCTTCGTCAGCTGCATCTTCACCTACTTTGTCGCCTACCATGACGCCTTCAATAGTTCTCCATCCCGCATCGGGTATATTTGATCAATCGTACTAAAGCCGCCAGTCTAATCTGTCCAGCAGGTGAACCCTTGGAGAAGAAGGAGCTCCTTAAGCCCCGACAAGATCCTGCGCACGCCTATCGCATGCGGTATGCGCAATATCTTGCAGCCACCTTTGGCTTCTCAATGCAGGCCGCGCTCGCCGAGGCGGATTGCCAGCTCGCGCCTAGGCGTTCATCGAGTTCGGGCATGTCAGAGGCCGAGTCGTTACGCACCATTTGAGACGGGGCGGAGGCTGTGCTGGGCATGTGTTGCCAGGGGGTGTTTAACGACTTTATGACGCAGCGCAGAGAACGGGTAATATTTTTTCAAGCATTGGGGGGTGTGGGTTTCTCGGGCGGGCTCCGGTAACATGTGCTGAAAATCAAAAGCAACGGTTTATTTTTTCCAACATGAATGTGACCTTGTCGCTGTTTCGCGGGCGCGCGCAAGAGAGAGAGAGAGAATGTGATGTCGACGCCCGTGTGTATGCCGGCTGCCGTCCTTGAGACGAAGAAGAAGAGACTGCGGGGGGGCGAAGAGAAGGGCGAGGGCAGAGGGGGAAGGAGCGACGGGCAGCTACCCACCCCCGCCATCTCGACCCGCCCACGCCTGGGCCACTTCCCCACGTGGCCGAGGCCGCTTGTGCTTGTATGGCAGCAGTGAGGCTCAATTCCAACCACGCCCCGACTCTCGCAGCCTCGCACCACGTCGTCTCCATCGCCACAAGACGCAGACACGGCCACCTTCCTCTCTCGATGCTGCCAATCCTCTTGTCTTCGCTTAGGGAGCAGGGCATCGCCTCCCCCGCACGCCGCCGCCACTGCCACCACCCTTCCATTACTCTGCGATAACGCTGGACGTACTTAGCCGGCCGCGCGACCACCATCTCGGCATCGGCATCTGCACGTCCTAGTAATATCACGTCTATGCACCGCAACCGGTGTCTATTTGTGGCCTCCACGGACTGCCATGTCGTTGATTGGCGCGACCCCGCCTCGCTGAGCTGACAAGTCGTGAATGTGACAGCCGTCAACCACTCAGACACGGCACCGGCGCTGACTACAAGACTGCCGCTTGCACACAGCGTGGAGCAACCGACCGACTGCACGGAGTCGTCACGAAACACTCAACAGATCCAAGTGGAGCACACAACCAGCGTGCTCGGTATCTTCGTCCGACAAAACAAGCTGGGAGCCAACTTCGCCGCACGATGACCTCTGGATGCCAACAGCCCAGATGTCTGGGCATCGTGGCAGCACAGCCAACAGCAATCTGAATCTCAGCGGAACCCGAGAACCGGCGACGGACTTTCTTGGGCCCGCTAGCCAAGCTTCTTATCATTGGGTGAATGGCCACTCGAGAATGGGGCCGCCCTCAGCATAGGCCTTGGCCGCTAACCTTCGCAAGCAAACGTGTGGGCTTATATGCGTTGGGAGGCATCACCTGACTGCTACAATCGTACGTGCTAATGCAACGTGTACTGCAAACCCGCCTTGTTCAGCACAGAACGAGGCGCTGGGGATGAGCGCTTCCAAGACCTCTTCATGCTTGGAAGACCCACGTCGTCGTCTCTTAGCGTCGATAACCCCGCCTAAGCCTGCTCGACAAGCTGCCTATAACTAGTCCCCCGCCAGAGCCTCCTATCGCTCTTTACCACCAACACGACCAGTGTTACCACATATACTTGAATGGGTGAAACTGTGCTGCTTGCCGTCGAGGAGACTTCTCCTAACGTCGATGAACCCCCTATATGTGGTTTAAAGGAGCCGCATAATACATCAACCCCAAGGCAACATCAGCCACCACCCATCAATGGCGACACTGCGCCAACCCTCTACGCTCCGCACACTCTCTCCTCTGAAGAAGTTGCAGAGCAACTGGGAGTCGACATCAAGTGAGACCGACTCGTACGCTCCTCTGCCATGATTTTACTGACCATTGCAGCCATGGACTCTCTCACGCTGAAGCGGAATCTCGCCTCCAGCTCCATGGCCCTAACAAGGTTAAGGGAGCTGAAGGGCTTTCCATGTGGAAAATTCTGCTAAGGCAAATCTCAAACAGTCTTACCTTTGTTCTCATCATTGTCATGGCCATCAGCTTTGGCATAGACGACTACATCGAAGGCGCCGTCATCAGCGCAGTCATCCTCCTGAACATTGTCGTTGGTTTCTGGCAGGACTATCGGGCCGAGAAGACGATTGAATCTCTCAAGAAGCTCACCGCACCAGAGGCCACTGTTACTCGTAACGGCACTGCCGACCTCAAAGTCAAGGCAGTCGACCTCGTCCCTGGCGATCTCGTCCAGCTGTCTGTGGGTAGCATTGTCCCCGCCGATATCCGCCTCATCAATGGCGTCAACGCATACACCAACGAAGCATTCCTCACCGGAGAATCCGCACCTGTCGAGAAGACGCCACTCAAAGTCTTCGACGACGATGATCTCGCTACTGGTGACCGCACCAATCTTGCTTTTTCTGGAAGCGAGGTTACATCTGGACGCTGCCACGGTATCGTGGTCGCTACTGGTATGAACACGGAAGTCGGAAAGATTGCCACCATGCTTCGTCAGAAGAAGGATGCCGCCCCTGAATCGTCAAACATGCTCGTTCGCCTCTGGAAGCGGTTTCAGAACGGAGGCAAGACCATCCTAGGTCTTGTTGGAACCCCACTTCAGATCACACTGAGCAAGTTTGCTCTTCTACTCTTCGGCCTCGCCATCCTCCTTGCCATTATTGTCTTCTCGGCAAGCACGTGGAAGGTTGGTGGTGAGGTTCTCATCTACGGTATCTGTGTTGCGGTCGCTGTCATCCCAGAATCGCTGATTGCAGTTCTTACCATCACCATTGCGGTTGGTGGTAAGGCCATGGCAAAGGCCAACGTCATCACTCGAGTTCAGTCGGCTATTGAAGCTGTCGGAGGTGTCACAAACATCTGCTCCGACAAGACCGGTACTCTTACACAAGGTCGCATGGTCGGAAAGACGGCTCTCGTGCGCGGCGCTGGGGCGTTTACTGTTGATGGAATCACTGATCCACACAACCCAACTAGCGGTAACGTTTCTCTAAACAACCAGAGCCTCAACCTGGACGAATTCAGGCCTGACCCAGTCGTGACTCGCTTCCTGCGCACCATCTCCCTGTGCAACAACTCAAAGGTCATACCGCCATCGGAGATCCGTATCGAGCCTTCGAGCGACAAGAAGAGCGCTGCTTACTACAACGCCACTAGTGGAGACGATCGTGATACCGATGTCTCTACCATCGACACCATCTCCCGCCCACCCACTGCCATCATGCAGGGTGGTGTGTCGGAAGGAAACTGGGCAGCGCATGGTGAGCCAACTGAAGTCGCTCTACACATCCTCGCTTCCCGTTTCAACATGGGCAAAGAACAAATCCTGGCTACCTCCAACATTCATCTCGCCACCGAGTTCTCTTTTGACTCCAAGGTCAAAAAAATGAGTGTCATTTACAAGGACAACCACACTGGTCACATGGATGTTTATACCAAGGGTGCGACTGAATTCATGATGCCTGCACTTGATGTCACCGACCAAGAGAAGGCCGAAATCCTTGAGGCGGCCGAGAACATGGCTAACCAGGGTCTGCGTGTTCTCTGCATTGCCCACAAGTCGCTACAGCCCGGTGACGATGTCTCTGAACGTGAGGCTGTCGAAGCCAACCTCACCTACCTCGGTCTCGTCGCCATCTACGACCCACCCCGCTTAGAGACAAAAGGTGCCGTTCGCGAATGCAAGATTGCTGGTATCACTGTCCACATGCTCACGGGTGACCACCCTGGCACGGCGAGAGCCATTGCCAAGGATGTCGACATTATTGATGACCATACACCTGCCTCAGCCGTCATGGTCGCCAAGGACTTTGACAAGATGACTGACGATGAGGTGGATGCCATGGAAACTCTTCCCCTCGTTATTGCCAGATGCAGCCCGACCACCAAGGTCAAGATGGTTCAGGCCCTCCACCGAAGGGGCCGCTTCTGTGTCATGACTGGAGACGGTGTCAACGACTCGCCGGCGCTCAAGCAAGCCAACGTTGGCATGGCCATGGGTACCGGTTCTGACGTCGCCAAGGATGCTGCTGAGATGGTTCTCACTGACGACAACTTCGCCTCGATTGTCAAGGCCGTCGAAGAAGGCCGACGTCTATTTGACAATATCCAGAAGGTAAATTGCTCTTTCTATTCCATGATCACGACGCCATGCTAACGCATCTTCAGTTCCTCATGCATCTCCTCATCTCCAATATCGCCCAAGTCATCCTCCTCCTGATCGGTCTCTCGTTCAAAGACCAAGACGACCACTCCGTCTTCCCTCTCTCTCCCATTGAAATTCTATGGGTTAACCTCATCACGTCGTCCTTCCTTGCCATCGGTCTCGGTCTCGAAGAGTCCCAGGAAGACAGCATGTTCCGACCACCACACGACAATAAGAAGGGTGTCTTCAGCGCAGAGCTCATAACCGACAAGTTCATCTACGGCTTCTTCATGGGCGCCCTGTGTCTCTTTTCCTTTGCCATTGTCGCCTACGTCGGTCCCGGCGGAGGCAACCTCGGCTCTGGCTGTAACGAAGGCTACAACGACACCTGCGACGTGGTGTTCCGGGCGCGCGCAACCACATACGCGACAATCACATTGCTGCTGCTCGTCACCGCATGGGAAGTCAAGCACTTTGCCCGCTCCCTCTTCAACATGTATCCCAACTCGTCGCACGGCGCGCCAAAGGGACTCTCCATTATCCCTACTCTCTGGCGCAACCGCTTCCTCTTCTTCGCCGTCATCGCTGGCCTGCTCATCATGTTCCCCATTGTCTACATTCCAGTCATCAATAAGAAGGTGTTCAAGCACGGCGCTATCACCTGGGAATGGGGCGTCGCTTTCGGCTGCGTCGTCATCTACGTCGCCGCCATCGAGTCGTGGAAGGCCATCAAGCGCAGCATGGGCATCTGGTCTGGCGCGCATCGCGTCATTAGCCGCGAGGACGCCGAGGCCAGAGCTGGTCTCAGTGGCGCGGCTCCCGTGACCAGGGAGAAGTAGAGTCATTGGTGAATGTTGGATGTTGGATCAAATTGGAACCCCTTTTCCTTATTCTCGTATGTGAAGGACGGACGCAGAGGATATACTGCTTTCTTTGGATTGACCCTTGGTCCCTCTCTTTCTATCTATCGCTGCCTACTAGGTACGAGACAACGACCTAGTGATATGATTGATGAATCTGCTTAGCACTCTACACAAATCAAACTTGAGTCGCTCTTTGACTCCCACCTCTCTATTCCTCTTACTGTGTCCGTGTGTGTGTGTGTGTGTGTCGTGACTCGAATGCCTGGGTTTACTTCATACTTAACAAATTTCACACAGCTGGAGAAGTTTCGTGTTCAGGACTACAATCAACACGCTCATGCCACGGTACACAATGCCATTTCTGCATGCATCACCATCCCAACACATGGCCATCCAGGAAGCAAGAATTAAACCCGGTTGGATCAAACTCACCCGTAAGTCAACAGAAAAAAAATCAACAACGAATAGAAATGAGTGATAGCATTTGTAGAAACCATACTCACATCACTATCACTATCACTATTTAACCACACGCCTACCTTCTAACCACCCACCCACTCAACCAACCAACCGACCGACCGACCAACCAACCCAACTCGCACTCACCCATTGCGTAAATTCGACAGCCTGCCTCCCAGCAAACTGGGACTACCAGCTCTGGACCTGATTTTCGGCTGGGGAGTCACACTGGTGCCTCTAGTCCCCACGCCCTGTCTACCGAGGCTCTTAAGCCGCGTGACCTCTTCATCTTTATTCTGCAGCGCCTTCTTGACGATATTGAGTTCAGCCTTGAGCGTGCGGATGTGTTTTTCCTGGAGTTCATGGCTGCGACCGAGATGCAGGCCCTTGAGCCTGGAGGCCTGGTCTGACGCTGCTTGCGTGAGTTTGGTGACTTGGGCTTCGAGGTCGGCGATGCGCGCGTTGGATGCCGCGGCGGCGTATTGCGCGTCTTGGTATGATGTGCGTGTGTATTCGAGGAGGGCGTCCGAGGTAGATGCGTTTTTGATTGCTTTTTCTCTCTCAAGGTGCGCGGTCGCGAGGGCTTTGCGGAGGTTGGTGATTTCGAGGATTTGCTCGTCGGGCGAGAGGAGGTGTGTTGCGCGCTGTTCTTTGAGCTGCTTTTCTAGCTCGCGGACTTCGGATGTGCGGGCTGTGAGGCGCTCGGTGAGCGTGGCGTTGCTCTTGGTGAGGCTCTCTAGTTTTGTCTCTGCGGCCTTTTGCTTTTGCGACATGATGCGGTACTCGTTCATGAGGTTTTCATGCACGGTTTGTTGCTTGTCCCACATCTCCTCGTGCTCGCGGAAGCGTTTTTCTTCTGCTCTGCGCGCCTCGAGCTCAGTCCGATATAGTGCCTCCATGTGAGCGAGCCTTTTTTGCAGGTCAGAGTGGCGTGCTGCGTTGCTAGGCATAGAATCGATGATGCGAGTGACTTCCTGATCGTGTTCCGCGGTAGAGCTCTGAAGTGTTTGCGGCTGGGGCGTGAAACGCATGCGCTTCGCTGGATCCAGATCTCCTCGGTCCTAATCATATGTTAGCGAAGATTCCGATGAGCTTTGGTAACAATACTTACCAAAGGGCGCTTGACGCGCTCAGGCACCGGAGAGTTCACCAAGGGTTGTGATTGTTGCGTCTGGTACTCGATAACATCCTTGATACTACCAATAGATGGTATCGGCCAGTCAAATTCTGAATCCTCTGACGTATCCTTGAGCCACGCGCAGATCAAAGCTGCACAGACAGCGTCTCGTGGAGTTGTTTCAACGATAGGCTTGCCAATGTCTTCTCGCATGTGTGCTAAGCTGGCCAAGATAGTATGCATACGTTCGACTGGGCCCAGATTCGGAGAGACATAGCGCTCAATGTGCCCGACTGTCCTAGGAATGACAAGATGGATGATTGGCACAAACGCGCGTTCAGTAGATTGGGCCCAAAATCTCTCGCGAATCTCTGTTGCATCTTGAATGCCATCCAGGCAAATAATGATATCAGAAAAGCGCATTATAGGACAGCCCGTTTGCGGAACAATGGAAACGTTCATTCCTCCTTTAGATTCTCCGAATTCTCCGCGACGGGGAATGTCGAAGTGGACTTTATTGGCCCTACAGAACGTCTCGAGGATTGCATATAGCGCATCGTCATCTTCCTCAGTGACTATCACGATGTGTGTGTCGGTATCCCGTAGCTGATTGAATAGCTCGTGTAAGAACCTGAACTTTGTGGAATTTTCCATACCAAATTGCGCTGCGTGTTCCAGTTGCGTCGCTGACATCTCCTTGCTCGAGGAGCCGGAGTCGGCTTCAGCAAAGACCAAATCGATGTGGGTTTCTATAGCGCGAAGATAGGACAGGATTTCTTCCACTTGCGAGATTGGATCGACGCTGCGAGGATCCTCAAGAAATTGCTCCAAAATCTCTTTCTTCGATGCAATGTACTGGGAATACATGTCACTCTGCCGTCCTTGTATATATAAGGGCACGACAAACTCTCCCCAGGAAAGCTGTAAATCGTCGTTGAGGAGACTTTCGTTATCATCGTCGTTTTCTTCGTCGTCTGCATCGCTGAGATCCATCTGATCAGAGCCAGCAGAGGGAGGTACATCAGGCACTGAGGACTCAGCTGGTGCTGCGTCTTCGGCTTCAGCTACGTTTTCTGCTGCGTCTTCAGCTACGTCTTCAGCTTCAGCGGGTTCCGAAGGAGCAGCAGATGCTGCTGCCGGAGTCTCATCTTGAGGCGGTGGTTCTTGAGGTATAACAGGAGCAGACGCAACTGTCCTTAGCGAGGTTGGTACTTGTACAGCTGGCGAGCGGTCTGGCACAGCCGAGGGAGATCGTGTGCCTTCTTGCTCAGCCGTTCTCAACAATTTGCTTGTCTGGGAGGCAGTGCTGCCTTCTGGTGCTGTGGCAGATGTCGTAGCAGATGGCGTGGCGGACGATGTGTTGTTGCGCCTTTTTGGAGTGTATGGATTCTCGGCCTTTTGCTTAGCCAAGGCCTCTTCCATCTGCCGTTTGATGGCATCGGCCGTGCTTTCATTCGCCATGGTAGATGAACTCGGAACAGGTGTACAAGGTCGCGAGGGAAGTTTTGACGCTTGTGTTCTGAGAGAGTAGCTTGATGGATATGGAACGGGAGATAGATTATGATCTGGGAAACTGGACAGCCGCCCTGGCGTTTCTTGCGAAGAGTCGTGGCGCGACTCTGAGCTTGCCCTATCTCTGGTACTGTATTCCTTTTCTATAGCAGTCCGTATACTATGAGGTGTGTTCTCCTCCTGTGTACTTTGGACAACTTCCAGAGGTACGACCTGCGCGTTCTGCTCGCGTATCTCTAGGGCGCAAGGTGGATCCTGAGGTGACGGACTGCGAGCAGATCTCACCAAACTTATGGACAAGTTGTCGTCTTGAGCTTGACTATGCACAGGTTGGTGTGGCGGGTCGAATAGTGAATCTGACAAGGCTGTTCTTTGAATTTGTCCTGGCCCAGTAAGCGCTTGCCCAACCTGTGTTGTTAGTGGCGCGCTATGATCTGCAGAATGTTGTGAACTGTTGATGCAATCTTCTTGCGCAGATGCTGGTCTTAGTGGTGTCTGGTGTTGAAGATCGCGAATGGGACGTTGGTAGTGGAAGGGGAACTGGCCGTCCTCGGAGATGGAATGTTCGGCTAGACTTGGCTGGCTATCGCGATCGCCGAACTTTTGGGGTGCTTGATGTTCCTCGCCAAATGTATCAGCAGCAACTTGTATTTGTGTACCACGATCCACGTCGCTGATGTCAGCTGCAAGAATCTGACTGTTATCGAGAGATGTGGGCAGGTTCCTCGGCGAAATGGATATTTCTTCGATGTCCACAAATTCCAGCGAGTTGGCCTCCACAGTCTCTGCTATTGTCTGGCTCAGAGAAGCTTGTTCCTGGTCAACCCGCGAACTTCCGACTGGCGTACTGGGCTCTATACCAGACCTAGACTTAGTTGTTGTTACTTCGGCGTGATCTCCGGTTGTCACTTGTTCAGCCTGTGATAAACTTGGCACAAGTTCAAGCGCACCCAGGGCTTCACCTCGGTGATGTTGACTCTGCGAATCTGCAACGGTTGTGTCTGGTATCGTCTCCGGAATGGATCTCGCTGGTGAAACAACGTGCGGCTTTGGTTGTTGCACAATCTTAAGAAAGCCCTATGGGCTACTGTTAGCAAAAGTCTCCTTGCACATGCAGTATTATGGACGTACCGAGTCGTCTACAAGATCTTCCTCTTCTTCTGTCAGTCTACTACACCCGGTGCTCTGCTGGTTGGTATCTTCTGTACGCTGTGTAATGGGTATGAAGCTCGCCTCACCTGTAGAGCTCTGTGAGTCGGGGACGATGCCAGACGAGTAGGGTCGTGGTCGTACAGCAAAGAGTTGTGAGCTGCCGAGATTAGAGTCCTGGCTATGCGCCTGTGTAGAAGTGTTCTGCGAATCAACTATCTGGGAAAAATCCTTGAATTCGTCCCGCGCAAGACTGTCGCCACGTCGGCGTATTTGTACGCGAGGTGAAGGTCGTCTGGAACGCGCGCAGACAGAGGTATTCGTAGTGCTGGACAGATTTACTGAACTAGCTTTGTTGTGTGCAGGCGTCGACGGGGACGAAGTGGACGAAGAGCGGTTGCTCGACTCTAGACTGCTTTCAATTACCCGCGAATTGCGAATGCGCCCCGAAGCTTGCACCCCTCGCCGTTGCTCTGAGCGTCTTCTGCTGTTGTGTCCCGACTTGCGCGCTTTCTCCTCCTCCCACTCTGCCACCAGTAGGCCCTTGGCGTGCTCTTCAGGCTCCCAGGTATTTGGCCAGTCTCTTCCAGTGTCGGGATCAGTGCCTTTCCATTTAATATGGTACTTTTTGATTCCGCGCACGACTTTTTCTTCGAGAATACAATCTGCCTCCCAGATCTTAGGCCTGTCGCTCGCCTCGCTGTCGCTGGACTCGTTGTATTTGGATCGTTTATTTGGCTTTGTTCTCGTCGGATTCCGTTTTCTTTTGGGCCGCGCCATTACGCGCAACGTCCGCTGTTGTTGGGGTTTAGGCGGGCTGCAGCCATTGTGAGTGAGCAGGCGTCTGCAAAAAGATAGGTGAAGGCGTTGATTGAGTGAGTGGTGAAGTTGATAGGCGCGGGACCATCGGGGCGCTGATCCCTGTCGCGACCTAAGTACGCGAACGCGTGCACGCGTGACTGCGTGCCTTTACTAGTCATTCGACATGTGAAGGTGCTGCACTTACTGATATTGATCAATATGCCAAAGGAGAGATTGAATTTTGGTTTCTACACGGAGCCCCTGCGAGGTACATGGTGGCTTGGAACTGCTAGAATTACATCACTGGTACAAACAATGAATGAAAATGGAATGGGCCGATTACGCAGTGCTGATTGAACTACCCAAATCTGCCCCTCAACTTGAAGACACGACTCCTATGAGACAAACTATTGTCCTCCACAAAGTTTGCCTTTATTCGCTACAACACACCCAGAGTCTAGTCCCAACACGAGCAAACAAAGCGTGAAAGCACACCATTCCAGCAACCCTAACCGAGCCTTAGTATCGCCCACCATGTCCGCCACCCCTCCAGTTGCCCCTGTTGCCATTGTAGCCCCCGCGTTGAGCACCTCCGTAACCGCGTCCGCCCTGATAGCCGCCCTGAGTTTGGTTGTACACGCCGCTGTTCTTGTTGCCGTACTGATTGCTAGTCTGTGGGCCGCCTGGTGGTACATTCATATTTGGAGGTGGAGGAGGCCATGGGCCGTTATAGTTGGGAGGGGGAGGGGGTGGAACAAAGACACTAGCTCCTGGGAATTGTGGTGGGGGAGGCGGTGGTACACCAAAGGGAGGCATTGGCATCGGAAACTGTCCTTGAAACTGGCCCGGCTGCGGTGGAAACGGAGGTGTGTTGAATGGCGGCTGAGAAGGCTGAGAGTATGGTTGCCCGTAGTTTTGAGGTGGCATGGGTGGAGTAGGGTGGTGCTGATTACTTGGACTACCCTGGGCGCTTCTGTTATGGCCGCCTGGTCCACCCCACTGCGATTCGCGCTGAGATCTTTCTCGAGACTGATTAGAGCCCTGACTCTCGTACCGTCGGTCGCGGTCGTCGGCCCCTCTTCGCCCTGGTCTAGGGGAGCCTTTGCGATGATCCTTTGCCATATCGCGGGACCTTGAACGCTGAGGTGATTGACGGCTATCGTAGGACGATTGTGAGCCACGGCGACTGTAGCTACGGCTACGGCTGCGACTTCGACTGCGACTATATCGCCGTCGCCCTTGTCTATAATCTGAATCCGATGAAGGTGACCGCCGATGGCGTCGCTCGTCACGACTCGCCGACCTGCCTGGCGCAATATCTGCGTCGTCCTCCATGCGTGCAATGTCTTCCCGCGCTATTTTGATGTTCTCTGGAACGCCGTGCTTCTGCATATCTTGACAGAACTTCGTCGACCACCCATATCCGTTCGCTACCGTTGCTATGTCGCCCGTCTCCTTGTCCTGCTTGGCCAGCTGGCCCAGCGGATCCAGAGACAACTTGTACTTTGCCGTCTCGCCAGTCGGGTTGTCGCCAGTCGGAGCGTACTTGAGATCAATCTTCTCGAAGAAATTGTCCAGAAGATTGCGAACATGTGGGGAAACCGGTTTCTTATCCAGCTTCTGTATCTTGATCTGCGAGGGGTCGATCGGGCGTTTCGGGTGCTTGATCATCGGCTCAAGCATATACGAGGCGGGAAGGTCGTACCACGGAGCCGTTCTGTCGCCATGGTACTCGGGCAAAAGGTAGTTGCGCTTTCGAGCCGGAGTGCCACCCTGCGCTATCAGCAGCGCCTCATCTGCCCTTTCTCTACATAGTTTCAGGCAGTCTGCGCTGGCAAGCTGGTTGACAGTCCAATAATTGACAATGGCTTTCAGCTTCTTCTCGGCCTGCGAGTTCTTCTCAGTTATACACGCGGCGGCTTGCGCGATCAGCTCAGCAACAAAGCCGCCGCACTCGTCGCAAAAGAGGCCCTGTTTCATGGTGCTACGACGGTGGTACTTGTCAGTGTGCAGAACATCGTTGACAATCAGCAAGAGGTCCATCCGATTGCGGACAGGCTTGGTTGCGCGCACTGCAGCATTCAGGTCTACGACAATAGACTTGGAGACAGAGAGGAGATAGTCCCCGAGAAGAGCGATGCGGGCCTTGGAGGGAGCTATGTGCTTCATGATCCACTCTGTGCATTTCTACGGTGGGCGAATTAGTCTGCTCCCGGATCCATGTGGTCATTGGCTTCATAGTAGGATACCTGGACGTTCACGCGCGTGTTCTGCTGCAGAACAGCATCTATGCCGCTAAAGAGTTGCGAGCTGACTTCTACGGAGACAGGTGGCAGACGGTCCTCGGTGTCTGTCTTCTTCATGGCCTGCTTGAACTTTAGCTGCGCAATTGTCAAGACAGTGGTCGCGCGCTTGGCATCATCGTTGGGCGCCATAGCGGGCGACGCGAGGGAGCAATGCGACAGAAGTGCGATGGGTTGCGGGTGCCGAGGAGAGGTGAAAGGAGTTGAGCGCGACGCCCAAGTTTCGACGCCCACACGGCCCGCCGCGTGCAAACGGCGCTAAGCGAATTAGCGCGCCTGCCGCTCTTGTCCCGCCACCATCGCCGTCGTGCCCATCTCAACCATGTCCGCCAACGACGCCATCCAGGACGAAGTCACCTCGCTCAATGCCATTTTCGACCAAGGCACCCTGTGTCCCGTGGATGAGCATGCAAGGCTGTACAGTCTGCGGTTGCCCTCCCTGCCGTCAATAACCCTCCGCATAGAGTTTCCGCCAGACTATCCAGATGCCCCTCCATCAGTCCTCGGCACCCAGAGTGTCGGACAAGATGTGCCCAAGGGCATGGGCAGCCGCGCAGTCGACGTGGTAAGGGACGTTCTCGCAAGAGTATATCGGCCGGGCGAAGCGTGCATCTACGATTTGCTTGAGGAAGCGCGAGAGGCCTTGGAACAAGCAGAGCAGCACGGAGATCTCCAGCTGCACGACCAGCATGAAAATGCGCTGGTGGAAGAAGAAAACATTTCACGTGACCTCCCCGATCCAATAGTTGATCTTGGACCCGAGCCGCCGTGGATCATTGCGCCTGCAATTACCGAAAAGAAGTCTGTATTCTTAGCCCGCGTAGCATCAGTCTCGTCTCCTATCCAGGCCAAGCAATATGTTGCGCATCTCCTTGCGACTGACAAGAAGGCTGCCCGTGCCACCCATAACATGACAGCATGGCGCATCAAGGGGCCCAACGACACGAGCTATCAGGACTGCGATGACGACGGCGAGACTGCTGCTGGATCACGCATGCTACATCTGATGCAGCTTATGGATGTATGGAATGTCATGGTTGTCGTCACACGATGGTACGGCGGCATTCTGCTAGGCCCAGATCGGTTTCGTATCATCAACACAGCGGCAAGAGAGGCCTTGATCTTGGGTGGCTACGCAAAGGATGGCAAGGAGGGGGATACGAAGAAGAAAGGGAAAAAGTAGCTGTTGTGAAAGAAAGTATCTGACGCCTGAGGGAGCCTACATTAATCCACCACCATTCTTACGCATAGCTTGTAGTACCCATTTCCGTAGATACCAGTGCAAACTCTCGAGGCCCTCCAGGCCGACACCTTCTTGCTGAATCCCCACTTCAGATTCGCTTCCATGTTCACTTCATGTTCACTTCCCTTTTCCAGCCCCACTCACTCCAGCGTGACAACCACCAGAACACACCATCCGCCCCTCCAACGCCCTCCCTCCTCATCTTCACACAAACAAAGATTACCCATGCCACGAGATTTTCAAAAAAAAAAGTAGCACATTCCCACAACACCCAGACGACTCTAGCTTGAGAAAACAACGACCATAAAGCAAACTCTCTCTCTCAACCACTACATCAACTACCCAATCGACAACAGCAGACTCTACCGATCCATGGTGGACCTCCACGTGGCGGCCGCGGCGGCCACGCACCCCGCGGTGGACAAACGAACGGCCACAGCCACACTCCAAATGGAGGCAATCCTCGCGGCAACCTCCGAGGTAATTCTGCCGACTTTGTGCCCCACGGACGAGGAGGCTTCAAGGGTAACCGTGGTGGCTTTACCATAATTGACAACACCGACCCTACCGAGGGCGTTGTTACCAACAACCCCAACTTCCAACCACGAAACTACTCCAACGTTCCGCCGCCAGCCAACTTGGATGGCGGACGAGGTGGCAGGGGCCGAGGCCGTGGTCGTGGGGGATACCGCGGTCGTGGCGGTCCCAGGGGTGGCACACCGGCTGCTGCCCAGTAGAGTCTTGCAATCGGATTGGAGACATTTTGTTCTTAGCGATTGCCACCTACCAGTGGACCTGAGTACTCATGATGCATGTTAGCACGGCGTTTCGACGTTCAAATCAACCCATGTAGACGGCATAGGTAGCTTAGACGAATACCCCATTGTGTCACCGCGTAGAATTGAAGGAATAGAGACTTCGCTCTGTGCAAGCGAATGATTGTTGCTTCTATATCATACTAAATCATGTGTGCACCTCCATCTCATGAGTTGTCCTTGTGTCTAACTAGACCCAATTCATCTCCGACGTACCTTCTCGTCGTCCAGAAAACCTATTCGTGCCAGATTAGTCCATGCACACAACACCATATTCCCACACTCGTACCTTCTACATAGCCGTCCCTAAAGTCACCTCTGCACATGCGGCCTGGCATTTCCCGAAAGCAAGATTACACCCAATAACGGCATCGGGTGCATCGGCACTCAGGGTATTGCCCCACACATACCCAGCCGCTGAGTAGCATGCCATGACCACCGAGGCGCAGCCTGCTTGACATACTGCGTAGCCGAGAGGTCCGGCTGAGGTCTGGGAAGATAGAATGAGTATGGCTACGGCCGTGTTGTTGAGAGAGGGAAGGTTCATGATGGATTGGAGGTTGGGTTGTTTGGTTGATTGTACGGTGGGAATACGGGGGGGTTTTCTTTTCTCCACAGTTGATAAATTATGGAATGCGGTTTCTGCTGTTCTTTTATAAAGATTATGAGGGGGGCCTGAGGCTGTTGCTGAGCTGGACTTTGCCGGGGAGCCATGCCACCGCCACGTCCGTTAGCGCCACCGAAAGCTCCTCGGTATGAGCCACGGAGAGGAGGAGGTGCGCTCGCTGGTACTAGTTGAGGGCCTCCAGGAGCACCAATACGGGGCATGGCGTATGATTGGTTCTTCTGCTGTGGGCGCCTGGCAGCAGCAGCACTTGAATAGTGAACAACCTGCTGCTCAGTCATGTTAAGGACCGCGGTTGCCGGGACAGTAGATCCCCTGAACGGAGAGCAGCGGTCGCCGAGAGATGTACCGCTCATAAATGTTGCGTCAAAGACAACATCGAGCAAGAGGACGCGAGCTGTGCGAGTCTTGCCAACTACAGTACCTGACGATCCAATCGGTACCCTTCCAGAATCCTGGACATAAACAATGCGATCACCAATGCTGAAGTTCTGGTGTCCCAAGCGTTGCTCTGCATCCGACGGTTTTAGTAAAGCGACGCGAGGCACCTTCCCTACAGTCTTGGCCTCAACTTCTTGGGTGTGTGGGAAGTTGGCGTCCGCGGCCTGCTCAATCATCTTGACGGTGTCAGAGTCAAGCTGCTCAGCGTCCAGAGGAACTTTTTCGAAGCTCTTAGTTTGAACTTCCTTCAACCACGCTCCAATCTCCTTGACTTTTTGTTTCGCAATCTCCGGAGGGTAAAAGTCGGTATCTTCCCAGCCATCGCCTGTGGGATTGTTGATGATGGCAGCAACAAACTCAGGGAACTTGATCATGTAGTTAGCCAGTAGGTTCATGGCCTTCTGGCTGTACTCCCATCCGTTAGCCGACTTTCTCGAGTAGCCCAAGACCTTTAATTTCTTCGCTTCGAATTTCAAGTTCAAGCCAAGGTTGAGCTTGAGACCACTTGAATTGACGTTGAAGGAGGAGGTGAGCTTGGATAAAGCAAGCGGCGGCATGTTGAGCTGCTTCGCCACAATGTACGACGGTAGGTAGGGCGTAGCCTTTTCAGCCATGGCGACAACCTCACGCCCAAAGTTGGGCTCTTGCTTCTTGAGTTTGGCAACCATGATTGTGGCTTTGTTGTCTTCGTGACTGATGACTTGTAGAGGACGACCGTAGGCGTAGTCTCCGAGGTAGAAAGCTCTAGCCCCTACAGGGAACTCTTCTTCGATAGGCAGGGCCTCCTTCTCCAGGAATCGAGCATCTGGGCTGGCAACCTCATCAACAATGGTTTGGGTCGCATATTCAACTTGCAGCCCAGGTACCTCGCCGTATTCCTTGATTGTTGCACCCTCATCGGTCTTGCGGAGTCCTTTGAGCATTTCTACGTACACGAGTGACTCGATCTCTCCAATGTTGATACCAAGACGCTTGCTGTACTGGGTTTCGATCCGGTTTGCGGTCTTCTTCCAATTCGAAATCTCTTGAGGCTCATGTGGAATGGAGATGGGAACGGGTGGGCCACTCTCGGGAAGTACGTAGTCGAACAGCTCGTCGGACACCTTTACTACCTTGGCTTCATGCAGGAATGGGTAGCCGACGTGGACCGCCTTTCCGAGCTTCTCTTTCGCATGCGACACTGGCTGTCGGGGTGCAGTGTCCAGTAGCGTAATGACCATACTTTCGTTTCGGCTGTCCTGTTGGAACACATTGACGCCTGCAAATTCAAGCTTGCCATGGAACGGCAAGACTTTCAAACTAGGGAAGCCTGCCAAGGCCTCTGCGCCTGTTTTGACACCGTCCATGAGGCCAATGTAGTATTCCAATCCTTCCATGGTAGGGAGGTCGAAAATGTTCTCGATGCACTTGCAGTGCGGAAGATCTGGGAACACACCCGGTAGAGACGACAGGTAAACAAAGTCCAAGTCCTTGGCGTAAGTAAACTTGAGCGACACACCAAAGGAATTGCGCGCCTTCTCATCTGGAGTTAGCTGGTCCTCCTTCGTAGCCATGGCCTTGAGCAAACGGTCCTCCTGGATAAAAGGAATTTTGACAACAGCCTCCCAATCCTGCTTCTTTCCGTTCATGTCCAGAGTAAAGTCCCGAGGATAGAAGTCTATAATCGGAGAGTCCTCGTTTGTCATGAGGGGATGGTAGGCTGTTGGTACAATGCTCTTACTGCGGTCGGGCAAGACACCCATCAACTGCTGGTACGGCTTAAATGGTTGACCGAGTTTGAAGTTGATATCCGCCTTCAGACCCCGCTTAACATCCGAGATCATAGGCGAGTAGTGGTAGCCATAGTACCATGGCCATGATGCTACCCCACGGTAGTAGTAATAGAGAACCCACTGCAGACCTTGCACGTAGTTCTCCGTCAGCTTGCGCAGCTCCTCTTCATTGCTGCGATCCCAATCAAACTTGCTCTTGTAGTAGCTGTTTTTCCACGCCTCGAATTTCTCGTCGTACTTCTTCTGCATCTCTGATTGGGCATCTTCTGGTGAAATATCGACAACCTTTGCCTGTTGGTACTTTTGCACAACGCGTGCAATTGCTTTGGCCGATTCGTCTTCCATCTCATCATCCGAATCCGAATCACCCTCTACCAGTTTAGGCGGGGGAGTGATTTGAAGGTGTCGATCGCCATCGTCGTTCTGAACGGTTTTCCAGGGAAGATGGAGCTTGTCTGCGAGCTCCTGGACAAACTTTCGGTCTTCGGCTGGCAGAGAGACGGGGAGATCCAAAGGAGCCTGCTCCTTCTTTGCCAGATAGTTGTCCAGCCAACTCTTGATCTGTGAGAACAGTTCTTTCTGCTGAGTCGTCATGACAACCGTGCCTCGTTTTGCCGTCTTCTTCATTACATCCTCCTTCTCAAGACGCTTACCCTTGAACCAGGCAGCGTCTGCGTTTTCAGATTCGAAATGGCGGTATTCAATGTGTGAGAGTTCGTCCAACAGTACAGCCAAGCGCTCCATGTTGATGACACCCCCTTCATTAATATACCCTTTACCCTTGGGTAGAACTGTCTTGTAAACGTTGAACATAAGGGCCAAGGCGCCCTCGTTGATATGTAAATGCGGGAGATTGGGAAGGAAATCGTTGCCAACAAAGAAGGCCATGAGGATGAAATCGTCAATAACACGCTCCATATCAAAGGGAAAACTTAGAGCGCCAGGCTCTTCCAACTCCTGGAACTCGAGTTCCAAATACTCGCGGACAATGCAGAGATGCATCAGATAAAAGTTCTGGTGCTCCAACTCCTTGGACTTGGTCTGGCTCTGGCGGCCAAAGGTCACTTCTTCTCGCAGCAAGCTGAAGTGGGGGTCATGGCTGAGCAGACCCAACATGATCAGATCTGCATCAAGACCATACAAGCAGTGGCGGCGGTTCGGGTCGTACCCCGGCTGCGCCTTTGCCTGACGGATGTATTCCATGATCTTGTGCTCGCCCTCTCCGGGGACCTCGTGGCCCGACAGTACGACTTCCACGCCCTGCCAGTCGATGTCTTCGGAGACCTTCTTGTTGATGAAGTACTTGAGTTGCTGCGTGAGCTTCGCCATGAAGGCAGTGCCTGGCGTAATGCAGTTGCTGTCGAACGCTTCCTCGGTGGGCATCTCAACGCCTTCGCGGATAGCCTTCTCCCGAGCCTTTTCAGCATCGAGAGCCGTTCTGAAGCGCCGTGCACGCTGCTGGTTCATCTTGGCGCGCGGGGCGACACCGTCGATGGCCATGAAGAAGAGCTGCTTGGGCTTGATCTTGCCAAACAGGTGCTCGATGTAGTTGAAGATGCTGATGAACATCTGGTCTTCCGACTTGCGGGCAGTGACGCTGTCGGAGTCATTGTGCGTACAGTTATGGATGATGCCGTTCATGTCAAGCTGTGTGACTGTTAGCGCTGGGCATCAATGGGGGCATACGAAGACGCACGTAGAGGCAGTCGAACTCTGGAATGCGGTTCTCGGCAATGAGCTGCGAGATGCCTGGATACCGTTCCGACATCCATCGAAAGAATTTGGGGACACCCATGGCTGCAGCTACTGTCTAGGAATGGCTGAGAATATGTGGAACGGCGACTATGCGACCGGTAACTGCGTTGTCTAGCGGGGGAGAAATGGGTCGCCAAGCGGGCGCAATGGAGAAAAGCAGGAGCAAAGAGAGGCGCACAAAGGCGCTGAGGGTGTAGAGCGGGCAGAGAGGATGGGGTGGCGGTTCTCGACGCTGGGGTCTTCAAAGATCCAGCACACATGGCAAAGGCCGTGGATATACTGGGCGGGCGGCCGCCGCCAAGCAAGTGGGGCGCTAACCAAGTAGTTGATCGACACCCAGGGTTGATCTCGACGCGAACTTTGGATCGCGTCGTGCGCCGCAGCTCTCACGCCTCCAACCACCACGCACCGTGACAACCCGTATTCTTTCCGCCACGCCCAGCTCTAGTGACGATTCTGCTGCATTCAAAATGGACGAGACAATGAGCGGTAAGTCACGAGCGTCTCCAACAATGTCTTCTGCGGCAATAGTCTGGCAGTGACGCCAGGCGCCGGACAATCCACGAGCCTAGCTTGATACGTCTGTGGGAGCGCCCTCTTCTCGCCAATGCGACACGCTGCGATTACTGTTTGGGTAGCATAAGAGCGGCAGCTCCGTTGGTGGGGCAGCAAACTTGGGCGACGCCGGGCAAGATAGCACAGGCTGCGCGCTGCATACTAGTGCTTTGACAAAGCGGGCGCATGGCGTGCTTGTTGGCTGCCACATTCTGGAAAGCTCCAAAAAGATTCAAATTCGCTGGAAACATGTCGCGGACTGAGACTAACATGGCCTCCACAGACGCTCACGACTCGCACGAGATGGACGACCAGGAGCAGGTCGAGCAGAAGATCATTAACGAGGAGTACAAGATATGGAAGAAGAACTCGGTGTTTCTCTACGACATGCTGTACGGCCGCGCGCTCGAGTGGCCCACCCTCACCACGCAATGGCTGCCAGACAAGAAGCCAGTCGAAGGCACCAACATGAGCCAGCACCGCGTCATCCTTGGCACCCACACCTCGAACCAAGCCCAGAACTACCTCCAGATCGCCCACTGCGAAATACCCGACTTTCGCGAACCCGACCTGTCAGAGCTCAACGAGGAGCGGGGTGAGATTGGCGGCCATGGCAATGCTAAGCGCCCCTTTGACTTCAAGATTGTGCAGAAGATCAACCACCCTGGCGAGGTCAACAAGGCACGATACCAGCCTCAAAATCCAGACATAATAGCCTCGTTGTGCGTGGATGGCAAAGTCCTGGTCTTTGACCGGACTAAGCACCCACTGCAGCCAAAGGATGACTCGATCAAGTTCGAAGCCGAGCTTGTCGGACACAGCAAGGAGGGCTTTGGGTTGAGCTGGAGTCCTCTTAAAGAAGGGCACTTGGTTACTGGTAACGAGGACACCACAGTTAAGACCTGGGACATCAAATCCGGTTTCTCCAAGAGCAACAAGACCATTAGCCCCACTGCGACATATAATGTGCACAGCGCGACTGTAAACGACGTCCAATACCACCCCATTCACAGCTTCCTCATCGGCACCGCGTCTGATGACCTTACCTGGCAAATCATCGACACCCGCATGCAGACGCACAAGAAGGCGCTGTACAGGAAAGAGGCTCACGAGGATGCTGTAAACTGCATCTCATTCCACCCAGAATTTGAAGGCACCTTTGCAACAGGCTCCGCAGACAAGACAGTGGGAATTTGGGATCTGAGGAATTTCGAGAAGAAGCTGCACAGCCTGCAGAGCCATCGTGCAGACGTCATTGGTCTGCAATGGCACCCGCAAGATGCTGCTATCCTGGCCAGCTCCAGCTACGATCGTCGCATTTGCTTGTGGGATCTCAGCAAGATTGGCTCTGAGCAGACAGAAGAGGAGGCAGAAGACGGCCCACCCGAGCTGTAAGTGGTGAACAAAAAAACGCTAGTAATCACACACTAACTTTGACAGGCTCTTCATGCACGGTGGCTTCACCAACCGTATCTGCGACTTTGACTGGAACAAGAACGACCCCTGGCTCATGATGGGCGCGGCCGAGGACAATCAACTTCAAATCTTCCGTCCCTCGCGCAAGCTCGTCGAGCTGCTCAAGAAGAGTGTAAACCATGGCGAGGTCTCTGACTGAGCTGTCTGAAAAAAACATTTCCTGTTACCCCAAGTTCGTCAAGAGAGCTCTTCCGTGGCAGCCCGCGAGGAGATGGATCAGCACAAAACAAGAGTTTTTTCCTAGCGTACAATCGTCCCCTCCACCAATTCAATCGCATGCTGGTTCAAAAGCAAAAGCAGCAAACTGGCGTTGGGCGCAGAAAATCTCACGATATCCATGGTTTTTTTTTAGGGAAATTAAATCTTGTTCAGCTGTGTGTGTATCCTACAGCCGTAGTAAATATATTCCCTCCCCAATCAAAACTTTGAATCTACAGAATATAACGTATCTCATACTTGAAATAAATAAATCATCCCTCCGTTTCCTTTCTATGAATGCGTGTTCTATCCCTCGCGCCCATCCGGCCCCTACATCACGCCGCCACCTTTTGCGTATCCACATTGCGTCCATCCAAGACGATATACACTCCGGAAGACTGTGGAATCTCACCGAGCAGCTCGACCTCAAACATTCTGTTTTCACCCGGCCAAAGCGTAACGTAATTCTCGTTCCACACCACAGGCGCCACGTCGTTGCCATTGGCATCTACGAGATTGAGGCGGAGAAAAACGGCAGGCACTTTGCTGTTGTTGACGAGCATCAGCACGACTTTATTGCCGTAGGAGCGCAGGCCGGCCCAGCCCACGTGGATAGTCACGTCGGCCTTTTCCATGTGCTGCAGCGCAGTGAGATCGGCGTACTGCGACACGGGCGTCACGAACCAGTTCGAATTGTGCCAGTCGAGCACGTCGCGGGTCGGGGGCACCCAGTACGTTTTCTGGAGGATGTCCCACTCGCCGTTTCTGAGGCGCAGACGCAGCAGCACGGGTTCGTTGATTGCGGGTGTTTTGTCGGTGAAGACGGTGGCGACTTTGTACGCGGCGTTGGGCTTGGTGGCGGCGCGCAGGGTGCGTGTGGGGAGGGAAGTTCCGTTGAGGAAGAGCATTTCAATGTCGATGCTGTGGTTGTAAGTGGGCCAGGTTTCTGTTATGAATTTCGGGCGGCGGTCAATGAGATAGACGGAGCGGTCTTCGTAGTTGAAGGTTAGCATGCGTGTGTTGTTGATGGCGTCCTTGGTGCCGTAGTAGGCGCCGGCCGGGTGCATGTAGTAGTCGTATAGGCTCCAGTGCAGCGTGGGCCACGCGCTGTTGAGCAGCCAGTATATGACGCCTGTGGCGGGTCGCTCGATTTCGTCACCCCAGCGGCTGATCCAGGCCTCGAACTGCGCGCGCGTGGCTTCGTAGTCCATCATTTGAGCTTTCATCAGATAGTCGGAGAGCGAGGTCGGGGCGCCGTAGCGGGCCCAAAGAGCCTTGTTGTAGATCTCGCGTGTGCGGAAGAAGGAGTTCTCTGCGCCCATGTGGTAGAGCGTCTTGTTTGGCGCTTTCCAGAGGTCCTCGAGTTCAGACGGTGAGAGGAATTGCTTCAAAGACCCCAGCTCGGGCGTGCCTACTCCGGCGCCCTCTTCAGACCCGAATCCGGCGGCACTGCCCCAGCGGTTTTCAGGGTCATACCAGTAGTTGGGTGGCACCCACTCGTACGGACCCTCCATTTTCATGCCGCCGTTGCATAGCTTATCGGAACCAGTGCGGTGGTTTGCGGACGGCAGCATAGGATTGGGCCACTGGGCGGCATTGAGAGCGTCGACGTAGATCTTGGTGGCCTTGCCGTCGGGCGAAGAATCGCTTCCTATGGAAAAGGCCAGCATACTGGGGTGATTCACCATCATCTCAGCTTCGTGCTTCATCGATGAGGCCGCAATCTCATAGTCATGATCCGACCACCTCTCCGCGTTGTTGTTGTCGTTGTAGGTCCACGCTTCCCACTTGTCACAGCACTCCCATCCTGCGAGGATCATGATGCCCTCTTTGTCAGCGACTTCGTACAGCATCGGGTGTCCCTGTTTGCCTTCCAGGCGGATCGTGTTCAGGCCCATATCCTTAATCAACCGGAATTGTTGCTCCAGGTTTTTTCGGGAGGAGCCAAGGAAGAGGTCGGGATTGAAGGCCGCGCCCAAGACTTGGAATGGATGGTCGTTGATAAAGAAGGTGATGTCGTTGAACTGTCTATTCAAGACGGACTCTACTGTGCGCAAGCCAAAGCTGGATCCTGTATTATCGGATGGATACCATGAAGACCATGTCGAAGTAGCAACGTAGCAGTGAACTTTGTGTAAATATTGGTCACCCCATCCGTTAGGCCACCAAAGTTTACCGTTAGGCAATTCCATGGTGAACGATTGGCTTTTCTTCTCTCTGGGGTCCAGCGTGTACGTTGAACCCTTGCTGGCGAGTTTGAAATTCGTCGAGTTGAAAACTTTGCAATTGATGGGACCGCTGGCCGAGGTGTTTGGTGAGAGGTTGGTGAGATCCACAAAGACAGTAATCGTGTCAAGTGTGGGGTGTGTAACGACTCTTGGTGTGCTAAGCTTCACCTGGCCCGTCCTCCTGTATCGGATTTCTCGCCATATTCCGGTGCCATTGTCTGGTGGGGACGGGTTCCAATCGAGAAAGCTGATGGCGAGGTCGCGGTTGTAGTCTGTCGGGTATGTCTTGACAAGCAGGACATTCTTCTCGTTTGGGATCAACTTGTCGGTGATGTCGTACTCTTGTCCACCATAGGCTCCAGCCTGCGTGTCTTTGTCTGCAACCAGCTTCCCGTTGAGCCAGATTTCGGCTTTTGACGTGATGCCGTTGGTTTTCAAAGTGTAGTAACCGTCGCTTGGGATGTCACCGACGCGATTCTCCGCGCGATAGTACCATGGCACTCGGAACTGTGCGGTGTCGACGTTTTGCAGGTTGTTGGAATAGAATAAGTCGGACTTGTTATAGACGCCATTGCTGACCAGCATATCCATGAGAGTGCTTGCGGGGCCAGTGGAATACCATTTTGAAGTGTCCACACCTGGGGCAGAGAGCTGGGCAACATCCAGATTGGTATCGGCAGAGGATATGACCCTCCAGGAACCGACAGGAAGGAAGGGTATAGCAAGGACGCCTTGCGCAAGCCAAGTAAGGGCTGCTAGTCGTCGCATTTTGACTTTGTGTTACATATTCATCGCGGGTATTAGAACGCTATATATATTACCAGTGCAGAGAAAGTACCCTGACCCCGGTGAGAGCCAATTTCGGCACTGTAGTAGCATGCATCGCGATGACAATACATTAGGGTCCATTTCCGTACATGGCACTGGATAGACCAAGCACTCGGGATCGAATAGGAATTGGGCGACATGGTCACGCCAGAGGCATGTTAGGGTGTATTGAGCTGATTGGGCCAGGCACATGTACCACGGCAGAGAGTGTGATGTTCCATGGATACTCTGGACGCCGATTCGACTCGGAGGACATGGTGATGGGCAGAAGGCAAAGCGATAGGTACACACAAGCAAAGTGAGCCAGAAGACATATCAGTGAAGACGGACTGGCTAGTCGCTGGGGCGAGTGGAGGAGGAGTTGGCCCGGGCTTAAGCTTTCCGAGGTACTTACAGGTCGGGAACAAGCTCGCAGCTCCCCGCCATCGTCATGCCATCGCTCATCCCACCCTCCCACCATGTACATAAAGCAAACAACACCCATCCAACCCTCCCAACCCGGGTTCCCAAGACCCGCCCGCACCCACTCGCGCCCACTGCGCGTGTCCGCGTACTGCATGTAAGCAGCAAAACAAACCCAAGTAAAAACAGTCCAAGATGCTGCTTCTCGGCCTGACCGGCTCCATCGCGACGGGCAAATCGACCGTCTCATCGCTGCTATCCAAGCCGCCCTACTCGCTGCCCATCGTAGACGCCGACCTCATTGCGCGCCAGGTGGTGGAGCCGGGCACTGCAGGCTACAATGCCATTGTTAAATACTTCGCGCCGACGACGCCAGACCTGCTGCTCCCGGATGCAACACCAAGAGGCCGGCCGCTGAACCGCCCGGCGCTGGGACGCCGAGTCTTTGGTGCCGGCCAGGACAAGGAGCACGACCGGAAGATGCTCAACAGCATTGTGCATCCCGCCGTGCGCAAGGAGATGTACAGACAAATGGTGTGGGCGTACCTGCGCGGCAACTGGGCCGTGGTGCTCGACGTGCCTCTGCTATTCGAGAGCGGCTGGGAGCGGTACTGCGGCACCATTCTCGTGGTAGGCGTCTCCGACCCTGCAATCCAGATCCAGCGCCTGCGCGCTCGTGATGCGCATCTCACCGAGGAAGATGCGCGCAACCGCGTCATGAGCCAGGGCGATGTACGCGAAAAGGCAGAGCGGTGTTTGCGCAGGGGGCCCGGCAACGGCGTCGTCATCTGGAATGATCACGACCGAAGCTTTCTCGAGAAGGAGGTGCAGAAGGTCATGCAGGGCGTTCGCGCGAGAAGCCCCAAATGGTGGAGCTTTCTTCTCTGGGTGTGTCCTCCATTGGGCGTCATGGCTGGGCTGTGGAGTTGGCACAGGATGCGCAGGGTGCAGTTGGAATGGGAGCATGAGAAGAGGCGGGAAAAGGCGAAGCTGTGAGTCTCTAAAGGTGAGCGTGTTTCGCGGAAGTGTATAGATATTCTGGTAATTGGCAGTGCAAGTCCTAGTGCAACGGCCTTTTTATAGTTTCTCTCAATTGTCTGTATGCGTTGCTTTCTTTTGACCTTCTGTCAATATGAAAAACAATTCTAGTGTCAGTGTCCTTCCAACCTATGCAAGCATCATACCAAAGGACCGCTCTCACCATTCTCCCCTCACCTCCCCTCCCGCCGTTGGCAACTTCCCAAACAAGAAACCGCATCTCTTTCACTCCGCCCCACCAATGCTCTCCAAACCCCGAGTCCTCTCCTGCCCCGCTACCGATAGCCCACAAAGCCGAGTCGCTCATCACGCTGCATCACATATACATACGAAGCCAGCTCCTCCCATCCAGCCACAGCAAACTTACCACACCGCCGCGCAATGAGCGCCATAACGCCCCCCTCCTTCGTCGATGACGCCGCTTCGCTATTCAAGCGCCTCCCCTCGCGCCCCACACCAGATAACATAGCACAATGGATTACTCACTGCGAGTCGGACGCCTCCTCAGTCTACACAGGCAGTTTCTTCGACGACGGCGTAAACATGCTGAGTCGGAGTGGTGGCGAGACACGCGGCTTTGCAGCTGTGAATGCATGGGGCGACGAGGAAGCAAAAGAAGAAGAGAAGGGTAGGAGGGGGCTGGGTAGAGATAGGAAAGGATGGAGTGAAGACGTAAAGAGAGCGGTTGGTGGAGATGTGCAGAGGAGTCTGAATCGGATTGGGGAGTTGCGTGGTGTTAGGGTTAAGAAAGCGAATCGTGAAGGTAGGGGAGGTGAGAAGGGTGAAAAGGCGGGAGAGAAGGAAGAAAAGGTGACTGTGCCCATGCCAGTGCAGTGGGGTACGTTTGTTATCAAGAGTGACGACGGACGAGTCATCGTTGTGGACGAGGATGGCGAGTTTGACTCTGGGCCGTTGCGAGCTGATACTGGAAAACAGCGACAGCAGCCGTGGGTTCGAGCGGAATCTACGCTGTCGCCGCCTTCAGACAAAGGGAAGGGAACGGAGAGTTTGTACAAGGGGTGTGCAGAGAGGGGGGACAGAACAAAGAAAGATGGAGGTAAAAGTACAGCGTCATCGCCACGAAAAGCTCTCACTCCTGTCCTCGAATTCGAATACGAAGATGGATACTCGTTTCCTGGGAATGCGGGTGGGCGGCCTTCGCATACTGCAACTCCGGCCTTGTCTCCAGCTGTCTCGGTAAGCGATGGGTATGGCTACATTGTCCCGGAATCACTGGCCAAAACAATCAGAGAAGGTTATAGACATGTCAAGCCAGGCTCTTTTGGGTTCAAGCATGTTGTTTCCGAGATGCAAGTCGAGTCCCGGGTTGCCTCGTGCATCCACACACTACCGGGGAGCTGGCCATCGCCCGAACCGTCACCCGTGATGAGCTGGGAAAAGAAGGAGTCGGAAGTATCCTGGAGCCGTGGGGATATTGGAGATGCGTGGGAAAAGAATAGTTCGGTTCGGTCATGCAAGAGCGAGAAGACGAAGAAAGACAGAGGCAGCGTGTCGGTGAAGAGTCATGCGACACACAGTGTGGCTACCATGGAGGATGCGCGAAGTAGTTCACCGGAAGGAAACGACAAGAATGCCGGGAGGGGCTGGGGTGGTAGTGTGAAGAACTCGCAGATCAGCAAGAAAGGAACTCGTCACAGCTCGGACGGAAGCAACAATAGCAACAGTAGCGGCTGGGCCTCACCATCCAAACTACCCCACCCCTTTACGTGGGCGGCCACCCGGTCCGACAGCGAAGACAGATGGAGCGGCAGACGCAAAGCCGCAGATAATCCTGCGTGGACTGGCATCGAGCCCCTTTTGTCTCAGCAAGACGCCCTGTGTCCTTCCTCAGCTCCTTCAGACGAGCCGGCGCGTCCCCCAAGCGAAGCAACGTGGAATGGATTCGAGAGACCAAAGACACTTAGTGACGTCAGCATGGCGGATTCCAGCAGCATACGCGGATCTCTGCGTAGCGAAGGCCGAGCATCGAGTCGGCACGCATCTCCAGCACACGGCAAGCGCAAATGTGCCGCGGAACGTCATCTCACCGCCAGCTCAGGCGGGCGGGGCAGATGGAAGAAAGAAATAAGGGTTGAAAATTGCCATGGCTGGGAGCACGGAAGCAGCGGAACAAGTACGGCGAGGCGCGCGCATGGTCTGAATGAGGAGAACGCGACGTATCTCAGTGAGAACTGGGGAGGGACCCCTGTCGGCGGGGCTCAGTTGTAGTCGGGTTGTGCTACACGATTCGCTGTCGCAGTGGCCCGAGGTCCATAAAGTTGCGCCATTGCCATATCTAGGCGGCTGGGAGCGCAAAGTGCAAGTATAGGACCTTTTTCTTTTTTAGTGGAGACCGCGAGGCGCGACCGCGCGACGCGAGCGGGATTGAAGAGGTGAAAATCCGGGGTATTAGTGGAGCGTTCGAGTTCTAGACGGATGGTTTTTTTTCGGCAGCAGGAAGGACACGCGTGTGTGGGTAGACGGGCCAGGCGGCTGGTGGTGTGTGAGGGCGTAACGAATGGAGGAGTGGATGGGCGATGCAGCATGCAGATGGCGTCTCGTCGCGCACGGCATTGGGAAGCTGAGCTGGGGAATAAGAGCGGCGGGCAGCACGCGTCGAAACACCAGTGCCAAACGCCTGAGACTCGGAGCACACGCCAGTTGGAGGCGGTTTGGTGGTGCCAAAGCGCAGCACCGGACGGCGCCAACCACCCGTGACAGAGGTGTAACAGGCCTAATGTGAGCAGCACCGCTCCATCAGCGCTGCAGGACGCGCCAAGTCGGACATCGGGAATCGGCCGTTCACGTCTGCCTCACGTCGCCGGGACGCAGCGCGAGCGTGTTTTTTTTTCCTGACGAGGGGGCTTGGTGGGTGCCGTGGGATGGCAGGCTGTACTGCAGGCGGGACAGGGCCTGGTGGCCAGTCAATGGCGATGCATTGACTGGGCAGATGAGGGCCAGCCTGGTTTCGCAGCGTCTTACTCGAGGGGGCTAAGGCGGGCTGCGTGTCTGGGATTGCAGTGGAGATGACGCCTGGGAACGCGGTCGTGAGCAGAGGCCCCTAAAGTAAAGTACGTGATAGACACGCTAGCCGTGTCGACGCGTTGAGTGCTCGGGTCTATTAGCTGAAGCCGTCCCAGCCCTCGTCTCTTCTTCTTCGTCGCCGCCGCCTGCTTTCTCTTCCTCTTCCTCTCCTGTCCTGCTGCTCCAACTGCGCGACTGCTCTGCTTCTCGGGCTCTATCTAGTGTGCTGCTGTCCAAGACTTGTTTCTGTCCTTCCCTCTTGTTGTTGCCCTTGTTGTCGCTCGCCCCGGCTAAACACCGCCTCACGTCGACAGCTCAACCCCACTATTCAACCTCACGCTTCCACCCAGCCTACCACCTCTTCCACCTCCACCACCGCCGCCCCATCTCCCTTCAGCTGCAAAATAGCCTTTTCGAGCTGATCCCCGCCGCCTTTGAATCTCGCACTCGTCATCGCTGCACCTGCCACCCTCGCTACCATGGCTACCTCGACGCGCCAGCCCTTTGCCGAGCTCGGCTCCACCCGGATCCAGGGCCTCCAGAGCGCGAAGAACAGACAGAATGGTAAGGAGCATCGTCTCACGTGCGCTGGACCTTCACTAAACCCGCGTCGCTGCAGCTCTCGCAAGTTTGGCCTCGACACAGAGCTTGAAGCCCTCGGCCGGTCCTTCAACGGGTAAGCGCCAGCGCGCGCCCGAGATCTTCGAGGATGCCGATTCCGAGAACGTGGACCCTTTCATCACCAGCAGCCCGTCCAAGAAGTCCAAGACGACCACCGCTGCCACGGACGCGAGCTACGTCAAGCCCGCCAGCTTCTCCCTCTTCACCTCGCCTGCCAGGACGAGTTCAAGCCTCAACGCCACGCCTTCGGTCCCATCTGTCCGCAAAGCCCATGCATCGCCCAGCACCACCAGGTCCACTCCCATCACCAACAGCCGCGGATCGCCAAAGAACAAGCGTCTCCATGCCATCTCCAAGCGCCGCGCGTCCACGTCGCCCTTCCGACGCGTCGACCCCCCTTCTTTTGGCATGAGCAGCCCCAGCCTGCCCTTTTCCATTGATGCAGCACTGAGCGGCTCCATCTCCACCTACACTCCCAAGGCACCCACTGTAGCAGCAACCCCCGCCTCAGCACCCGTCCAGAAAGCCAGCGCCCTCGACGAATCCATGCCCAAGGGTTGGTTCTTTGAGATTCACGAGGACACGCCCGAGCAAGAAGCCGCCAACCTTATGGAGCACTCGACCTTGGTCCTCGACATCTCATCCGACGACGACGCCGAGACCAAGACACGCAACGAGGACCGTGGCAAGGAAAACATCCCCCCTCCCGACTTCCGCGCCTCGCAGCCCCGCCAGACAGCCATTTCGGTCGACGACGACGGCTACGAGACGGAGATTCTCGCCGACGAGCCCATCAAGCGCCGTGCTGTGCGCAAGTTTGTGCAAGACGCCATGGACGAAGACCGCAAGCCCCTGGGCGATCTTGCACCGTGTGATTTCTACGCCGAGGGCTGCGATGCCACGTCGTACGTCACTGTCGATGCAGGCATTGAGAAGCCGTCGCGCCTGTCCAAGGAGTGCAGCTTGAGCTCTGACCTGATAGAAGAGAAGGAGGAAAAAGTAGAGGCCAAGCCCGTTGCCGAGAAGAAGGAGAAGAGGCAAAGGGCTGCTGATAAGACGTTGGCTGCGTCAAAGACACCACAAAAACAGTGTGTTGCCGCAGCGTCATAAAGTCTGATTGTTTTTTTTTCTTTCTTCTTATACCTTTTTCTTTCCATCTTTCTTTTTTGGAGCCACATTTTCTCATCACGGCTTCTATTTTTGGCCATTTAGGATACCTCACCCGGCGTTTTTTTTGGTTTATTGCTGTCTTTTCTTGTTGTTGTCTGGGTCAAGGGCCTCTGTCGCATTGATTGATGTGTGCATGATTTACGGATGGGGCGTTTGTTGTTGTTGTTGTTGTTGCGGCGGCGTTGGAAATCAATGATACCTTTTTTTGGTCTGTCCCCGGTTTTGCAGTTGGAGAACAAAAAAGAGAGAGAGACACACACACAGATAGTAATGCAAGCGAGCAAGCACCGTTTTTGAATACATGAAGAATAAAATAGCTTACTTTACTTTACTGTCTTGATGTCTTGATGTTCTGATGTTCTGATGTTCTGATGTGATGCATGGTGGCTATTTGAAAACTTGATGAGTCTAAGATTGCAGTAGTGATGCTCGTCAATCAGCACACGAGCTACTTACGTACATGTTGTTCAACCCACCCAGTAAAACAAGGACCCAAAACACACGACAGCAAATAAAAGTAGACGAGCAATCAACATCACAGCTTCCACCCCCTCCTCTTGGCAAGCGCCAACTCCTGGCGAAGCGCCAAATCAGCAATAATCTCCTCGCTGCCGCCTCCCACCACCATCATCCTCAAATCGCGACTAATCTGCTCGACGAGGGCGCCCGGCCCGCCGCCCTTTTGGTACCCGGCGCCGCCAAAAACCTGCTGGGCCTCTCTGCTCGCGAGCTCGAGAAGGCGGCCGCCATGCACCTTGCAGAGGGCAATTTGGCCCGCGATAGTGGGATCCTGCCAGCCGGTAGGCGAAGCGTGGATGTGGAAGGCGAGTTGCTCGAGCCATGCAAAGTGAGATTCTACGTAGCGGGCGAGAGTCGCGAGTTTAGCGGCGATGACCTGGTTTGCGAGCAGCGGTTTGCCGAAAGTGTGGCGCAGCGAGGCGTAGGCTGTGGCTTCGGAGAGACAGGTGCGTGCTTTGCGGTTGCAGCCGACGGCCATGATGAAGCGCTCTTTGTTGAAGTTGCGCATGATGATTTTGAAGCCGCTGTTCTCGGCGCCGAGCAGATTGCTCGCGGGGACCACGACATTGTCGAGTTCCACGAAGCTGGCGCCGCCGGAGCGCTGTCCGCTGTTGGTGATGCGGCGGTGCCTGAGGCCTGGGGACGACGTGGGGATGACGAGGAGGGAGAGGCCTGAGGCGCCGGGGCCGCCGGTGCGCACGGCCGTCGTCATGTGTGTGGCCCAGGGCATGCCCGTGATCCATTTCTTGTAGCCGTTGACAATGTAGGATTTGCCGTCGGGCGTCTTTGTAGCCGTGGTTTGCATGTTGGCTACGTCGGACTTTTTGTCGTCGTCGTGGTGGTTAGTTCCTGTCCATGTATGATTCTCACAACAACAACAACAACAACAAAATGGATGGATTCAACGTACCCCACCTCCCGGCTCCGTGATTCCCAGCGAGAAACTCGTTTCCCACGTAAACAGGCCCGGCAGCCATTTCTGCTTCTGCTCTTCCGTCCCGTGATGCACAATGGGCGGCACGCCGATTACACTGGCGCCTTCGAGTGCCATGTTGACGCCGCCCTCCATTCTGCTGCTCTCATCCGCCATGATGAGTAAGTGGAACATGTCTAGCTCTGCCACGGGTATGCCCGCGGGGCCAGGCACATTGGCAGGCCGGTACGGCGCAGGCACGTCGGTAAAGGCAAAGCCCGTTTGCGCCCATTTGAGGCGCTCTTGCTCGGGGGCTTCGCCGGCTTCTTCCCAGTCTAGCATGTACGGTTTCACGTGCGTGTCGATGTAGTTGCGCATCGTGTCGCGTAGCTTCTTGTGCGAGTCGTTGTAGTAGGGCGAGGCGAGCGACGAGTACCATGACGGCTCGGCCCAGGGGCCTAGGTTGCCAAATGTTTCTTGTTTCTTCTCAGACTTCATCATGGTGGGCGTGCGTGTTTTGGTCTCAGACTGGAGTAAAGGAGCTGCAAGGGGGACTCAGAAGCGGTGGGCGCCATAGCTTTTTACTTATTAACGTTTGTTGAGGTCGCAGATGTTCAGAGTAGGTTTAGATGCCGCGGCAGGCGGACATGACTCGCTTCATTGGCACGCGGGGAAGTCGCTTACTCAGCCCATCAGCCCCGCATGTTCAGCCTTGTGTGTGAGGGGATGCAAAAGCAAATACACATGCCCCTCTTCCGCTCTGTTCCTGCATGTGAAATCTCCATAGTCAGTATTCACTTGGACCGAGGTAGCTTCACGGATCGAGTCCCATTCAGATTGGCACGTTCTGCAAGATGAAAATGACGTCATATAAACCTGCGAAGCTTTATTGATGTTACGATATTAGATACAGTCTTGCAGAGCTTCCGGCACGTGGTGGTATCTTTTTGTTCATTCCTTCGTATACTCGCCATGAGCGAGACATTTACCTGACGCAGTAGCCGCCGTCGATGAGGAGATCGGAACCCTGTCATGGTTAGCAGCCGAACAAGGCAACGTGGGCGCATCCGACTTACAGTGCAGTAGGAAGAAGCGTCAGAGGCAAAGTAGACGTAGGCACCCTTGAGCTCGGTCGCCTTTGCGTCACGGCCCATGGGGATCATGGAGTGCCACAGCTTCTGGATGTCCTGGGGAACAAAGTCGGACAGACCAGTGTCAATGTATCCAGGGGAGATGGAGTTGACACGGGCAAAGTCCCTCCACTCGTTGGCGAGCGACTTGGCCAAGTGGATGCAGCCGGCCTTGGCGACGTTGTATGAGGTCTGCTCCTGGGGGAAGTTGGCAATGTGGCCCGACATGGAAGAGGTGATGATGAGGGAGCCAGTCTTGCGCTCGCGGAAGTGCAGGCCAACGGCGCGGGCGCAGTTGAAGGTGCCAGTCAGGTCCGTCTCGACAACCTCGTTCCACTGCTCCACGGTGGCGTCGAGGATACCGTTGTCGGCAGTCTTGCCGGCATTGGCAATGAAGACGTCGACCTTGCCAAAGTCCTTGACGACATCGGCGACGAGCTTCTCGCACTGGGCATAGTCGCCGACCTGGCACTTGTAGGCCTTGACCTTGACGCCGTACTTGTCGCTCATCTCCTTTGCATTCTTCTCAGCGCCCTCGGCGCGAGAGTTGTAGGTGATGGCAAGGTCGGCGCCAAACTCGGCGCATCCGCGGGCGGCCTCTGTGCCAATGCCCGTGGCGCCAGAAGCGCCGGTGACGATGACGACCTTGCCCTTGAGGCTGAAGAGGTCCTTGAGCTCGGTTGCCTGGGGAACGGGGATCATGGTGGCGGGTGGAGTGGTTGGAGCAAGAGAAAAGAGGCGTGGGGGAAGAGGCTTGGGGTTCAGAGAGGGAGTCTGGGCTGAGTGTGGGAGAATGAAGACGGCGATCGGGGGGCATCGGGGGGTTCAAGTACTCTGTGGGTGGACAGGTCGAGGCGAGGGCATTGTTCGTGGTTAGTGGGGGCGCTGGGTCCCGAGTGACGTGTAGCTGGGAGGAATTGTCGGGCAACGTCATGGGCGGGCGGATGATTCGCCCACGGCGCCATGTTGTGAGAAAATTGGGTTACGGCATTCCGGTGGTGATGCTAGCCGTTGATGGTGGGGTCGTCGCAGGTCGAGGGTTGGTGCAGACGTGACGTTCGCTGCCCCTCTGCTAGCTTGCTGGGCGGGAGCTTGGGCCCCATGTGCATGTGCTCGTCTCGTGCTTGCAAAACATCACCTCATCTGCTGGCCGCTCTCCTTTTGCTTGTTGCGGCACCGCTTGCGAAGGCCAATTGCTGCGACGGGCGCGACGGCCAGCTCCCGGCCAGCCCGCGTCCAGCTGCCTCGCCCGCGCGGGCCAATGGATGCGGGCTTCCCCAGAGGCGCTTCTCGCAACAGAGGTAGCGGCAAGCATGGTCGCGCCGTGGGACCCCGCCGTGAATGCAGGCCATGGCATGCATTGTCAGCCATTGCCCCGTTTACAAAGACTGTTATCGCGGCCCCTCGAGCGCTCAGGCGACGTGGGTTGCTAAGTCTTGCCCGCACGGCCGTGGGCGCCAGACTAACAGTTGACAAATGCGGACATGTATGCTTGCTGCCACCCCCGCGTGCTGGAGATGCCGCGCTTTCAGTCAGAGTTACTCAGCCCGTTGTCTGCGCGCTGCTCCGCCCACTGGACGAGCATCAGCACGAGCATGTGAGGAACCTGACAGACCCTGCATGTCCATGTAGTCCATGTCCTTGTATGCAGCAGGACAAGACGCCCCCCGAAAATCTCTGCGTCTGGTGCCAGGCCTTGACGGTCAATATCGCGATGCATGCGGATCCCGGCACCCACCTGTCCACCCGTCCATCGTCGCCGATCGAGTCGCAGCACTAGCAGCGACACTACCACCAAGGCCACGCCAACATGGATATATTCTCCTCGTGTCGTGCCGCCCTCGCCCACTTGGCTGGCGCCGTCCAAGTCCAAGTCCAAGTCCAAGTCCAGGTCGGGTCCTGTCCTGGCATCGGCCCGCACCAGCGCGCGCCCGCATCTTTGTTTCTCCGGCGCCGCGCGGGCACGTGACGCTGCTCTGGTGGCAACCTCGACGTCGGGCTCTGGACGACATTCCACACAGCAGCTGGCCGGGCCTGCGAGTCGGGCGAGTCATGCTGCGTTCGATTCGATTTTGATGTCGCGACTGCCTATGCGACGATCTGGACCACATGTCGCCCGGGCGAGCCAAGCACCTGCCACAGGGCCTGATGCCGCCCTGTGATTCGCAGCCATGGACGCTGGCAACTGCTTTTGCTTCTTCCTCTTCCTCTTCTTCTCCATCGTCAGCTAACACCACCACGCCCTCCCCGCAAGCTCCCCGCGTCCTCCACGCCCGCCACGCCACCCACACGCCGCCCCCGCCGCAGATAACAGCAGCACCAGCACACCCCACGACGCCCACGACGCCCGCGCCCCGCGACCATGGTGCAAAACGCCCTCCTGCCCACGCCCCTCCCCGCCCACGCCATCACCGTCGGCCAGCTGCTCACAGACCCGCTGCACCCAGAGCGCGACTCCTTCTACCCCGACAAGGCCCACGACCACATCGACGACCTCAATGACTTCCACATCCAGCTCCGCTACAAGGACATCTACTCGGTCGACACCGAGGGCCGCTTCATGACAAACTACGGCGCCAAGTTCGACCTCGGCCGCATATACAGACAGCCCAACCTGCTCACCGTCCGCGCCGAGCAGATGATCCAATGCACAACCCAGAGCGCCACACGCGCCTTCGAGGCCGCCTGCAGCGACGACGGCGCCCGCGCCTGGATGGCCGAGCAGATCGAGGCCGGCAAGCCGCTGTACATTGTGCTCGGCCTGACGGAGCTGAAGAATGCCTCGTTCAAGCGAGCCAAACTTCGCGATGCAGGCGCCTCCAACCGCATCAACGAGCTGCCCCTCGAGAAAGACGCCAAGGTGCCCCGCTCTCTGCGTGGCAGGTCCGAGGCCAGCCTGGGAGGCATCGGCACCGAGCCCTTGATATCGGGAGTCTTTGGCCTGGACGTCAGGCGCATTGTCGCGCGCCTCACCACCCCCGCCGAGCCCCACCGGCTCGAGGATATAGGCTACCGTTGGTACTACCACGACGTCCCGGGCTCGGCCAACCACGGGAAACAGCTCGCAGTCGGCCTCGGTCCGTCGCTCAAGGCCAACGAGCTTCGTCTCATGCTCGACCTCAGCGACGAGGACGTCCAGGGCAATCTCGACGCTATTAGCAAACTCAGTCTCGACGCGCTCAGTGCTGCAGCCAGCCCCATGCTCAGGCCTAGCACTCCATTACTCCGTGGACGATCGCCTTCGCCACACCCAACCATGCTTCGCTCATAGGATGACCAGCACGCTCATGTCTACGCCGCAATCAACTTGTGGCTTGTGGTTTCGAGTTTGCGTCTGCCGGTACAAAAACTGGCGCCGGCGCTGTTGCAACGATTCATGACCCTTACGGCCTGCATCTCTTCCATGTATACAGTAATTATATATTCGCATCACGCCAGTTGTTCCTCTTCCATATCAATGCATGCATCTGCCAACTGACTGAAATCTCGACGTCTCAGGGGCTACTCGCATAAACAGCCTGCTATTAGTAGATGGTTTGTCTTGGGAGCTGTACGCAATTGGTATCGGGCCGAAGTACAGTATTTGAACCAAGTGAAAAGCTGTTGGGACATGTGAAGATATCTCCAAGTAGGCATACACAGGAGAGGAATGTGTTGGTTCCATTCTAGGTACTCAATCTCAAGAGGCGCATCATTGGACTTTATATGGTTTGAGCCGGACGCGGTCTGCACGAGTGGTTGCTAAACTCAAAAGTGGGATGCATGAAGCAAAATAAGATTCGCTGACACTGGCTTACCGCATGGCGTGAGGGTGCCGAAAACACATGCGACCAGTCTTGATATCCGGGTGTCTGCTTCAGATAGTACAGTACGTAGCACATAGACATGACCCCCCCGTTGAAACGTCATAGGCACTCGGCCGTCGGCGTCATCCACGGAGGCAATGCTAAGTACGACTGGGAAATGAGCAGCGCTCGCATATGTCTGCTACTTACAAAGGGTATTATATCCCCTTTCCTTCCTTCTCTTACCTTTGACCTTCTACCCCCAACTCTGACCTCTCGTCTCTTCCCGCCCTCGGACCAAACGCAACATACACAACTCGCCGCAATGCCGTTCCTACCCCCACGCGACTGGACCTCGACCGACCAACTGGTGCTCTTCACATTCGGCTTTGTGCTCCGCCAGACGCTCATGTACCACTTTGAGCTCGACCCGCGCTGGTGCAACAGCAAACAGACTCTCGCGCACATTTGCATCTGTGCATTGCTGCTGCTGCCCGTGTGGCTGTATGTACGCTGGGGCTGGAGAATCGCCTCACGCGTTGTCCGGGGCAGTGGGAGTGCGGTGCGCGTGGGCATTTGCGGACAGGAACAGGTACGTTGATTCAAGCCTTTACTCCAGCTGCGAAGATTTCTGGCGTATACATAGGTGCTAATGTGCTGGTAGATGCGGTGCCGTGGAATTAATGCAGATGCTACATAGTGAGACGGGTGCAGATAGTGGACAAACCATCTTGTTGTGCAACAGAGGGGCAGAAAAAAAAAGTAGTGATGCGAATCTGAATCGTCGATACGGGTAATACTGGACTTTGTTTCGAGGGTTTACGGCGCCGCGCGGCGGGGGGGGGGGGGGGGCGGGGGAACGGAGGGCTCACTATACTTTGGTGTAGACGCGCGCCACAAAGGTGCAGCAGTGCTTACTTGGGGACGCGCGGGGGTTCCGCGAGCTCGTTTCATCCGTACAGAAACAGACTGCAGAGCAACACAACCCCCCTGGACCTAACCTCTCTTTTCCTTTCTGGACGGCCTCCGACTCCGTCCTTTTCTCCACGTTATTCTCACACTTTGGGCTTACCTGCGCACACGTGATTGCGGCTCGTGTCGCGTGGTTTGCACGTGTGTGGGAGTGCTTTTTTTTTGTAGGGGAGTGGTATTGCTGATTAACGCGTTTCTGCTGTACATACTTTGTAAGTACTTTGGTACTGTTGTTAGCGTGTGTGGCAACACATCTAGCGCCGAATTGGCGTCTACGTGTGCGCACTGATTCATCTCGGTTTCATCGCGCCATCTGTCCTGGACTTGCGCAGCCTGATTGCGTGTAGAGGGCGGAGTATCCGCGCACGTGTGAGTCGTGTCAATCCAATGCAAATACCAGAAACCCAGCTTACCCATACCATATAGTCGAAGGTCGGGCTTGCGAGTGAATTTGGCCAAAAGACGAGTAAGAGAAGGTTATTTGAGAGAAGAGAATATCAAGGAAGCCTGCTACAGCCCTGTTTGTTGAAGCAAGATTTGCAACCGCCAATCGCATTGTTACCAGGATATCAACAGCCATGGATTCTACGGGCTTGTCTTTTGAGGCCAAGATTGCCATGGCTTTGGGCGGGTCGAATTGGCAAAGTCTACAGAATGCAAGTACCGTGGCGCCCGGCGGCGTAGTGCAGAACACCGCTGCGGATGAGCATGAAATTGAGGAAAAAGACAAAGATGGTAACAACGGAGTTCCTTTAAACAACAAGGATGCCGGTCCGGGCGTGCCACAAGAAGAGGTAGTAGATCCAGTTATACTTGGCAAACGCAAGAGGAAAATGGAGCGTTTTGAGCAGAGCGTTGCGAGGGATGCAGGCGAGGTCGTTGAGACAATCACGGCGGATTCTCTCGTACCTGTACCGCAAAGCGTGGTTTGGGATCAAGATCCCGAGCTTCTTTGCTGCTACAACTGGCAGGCTTCTACCAATGGCACCAACACCATATTCGGTACGTATTCACAAATTGCACATGATCCACCATGTCACCTCAAGCTCACATCTGCCTCAGTTCCCGGCGAGCCAGCAAAATGGCACCAACCCAGTCTGCCCCACACGCTGGAGCGAGACAGCGGGTTCCAGTATTCCGACTACAACTACGCGCGGCAGCCTCGAAACCCGTATTCGCCCATGTTCCGCGCGCTCAGCATCATGAACCCCCGGTACAACTTCCACGACGTGGACGTGCTCGCCGACCGCAACAATCTGCGTGTGCTCCTTGAATTCGTGCAGGGCAAGTCCAACGGGCCGTTTCGCCTGAACCTGTACCTCGTGTTCAACACGCTGGTGATTGTGCGGCGCGAGGCGCGCTGGTGGAAGCATTCGGACGGCCAAAGCTACGGCATCAATTTCGAGCGCGACTTTACAACAACACGGCCAGACATGCAGGATGCCACGAGCCACTACCGCGCAATCCGGTACAAAATGGGACCGCTAAACGTGGTATGTCGCTTCGAAGCCGACGCCTACGACGACGGCGACATGGCGCCCGACACCCTCTCCGAAGCCGAAGCCAAAGCCGTCACCGGCGGCCTAGCTACAAAACCCATATTCAACTACTCGGCTCCCATCCGCGTGCTGCAAAAAGGACACGTGGTCCCCACGGCGCAAATGCTCGAGCTCAAAACACAAGCATACCACCCCGAGAACAGCACTGCCGTGCAATGCCAAGACCAGCTGTGGTTCGGCCGCACACGCCTCCTGTTCACGGCGCCCTACACCAAAGACACGGGCGCCGTGTCGCGCATCAAAAAGGAAGATGCGGCAGAGCGCGTGGCGAAATGGGAGTCTACCCAGCAAGAAGCCCTGCGCAAACTCGTCGCGCTGCTAGCCCATGTCCGCGCGGTGCTGCATCGCGAACGCAGACCAAATCGCGCCGCTGTACTGGTTAGAGAGGCAAAGAGCGGCCCGATTGTCCTGCGTACCCTCCAGGAGAGAAGTACGGCTGTGGATTGGGAGACTCGCGAGACCTTCTGGCCTATGCATGCGCAGCACCCGGGGGGGTATCAGCGGCGTGGTGACGGAGGAGGAGGAGGAGGAGGAGGGGGTAGCCCTGGTACTGGTACTGGTACTGCTGGTTACGGGAGACCGCCATCTCATGCACCCCCCCGTGGACGTGGTGCTCGCAGCGGTGCAAATATGCCGGCGCCGGTGCCGCAGTCGAGCAGAGCCAACTTTTCGTCTTCTTCTTCTTCTTCTTCTTCTTCTTCTTCCTCTGCTCGTGGACCCGCGCACTTGGTTCCGTCGCAGGTTCATCATCATGCTCAGCATCAGCATCACCATCATCATCATCAGCATCAGCATCAGCAGCATCACCATCCACAGAGTCGGCGTCACAGCCACCAGCAACCGGATACCGCTAGTGCATCGAATACCCATCACAGGACTCCTGCTGAGCAACGCCGAGGTCCAGCACCAGCTTCAGGTTCTGGTTCTGGTTCAAGTCGAAGCCGGGGAAGAGGAGGGAGAAATCCTGATTACAATCGGAGTAGTGGCAGTGGTGGTGCTCCTGGTGGTGGTGGTGGAGCTGCTTTGCATTGAGTGGGAAATTGAGCGTCTATGCCGCTTGTGGATTCTGAATTGAGATTCATATATATATATGCGTGGCTCCCTGTCTTTTTTTTTCTTTTTTTTTAAATATACCTCTGGATAGAAGCATGTTGCTATGTTACTACATATGTTGCTACATATGTGTACAACTGCGTCTTTGCATGCTTGAAGTAGCAAGTTTATAACAACAACAACAACAACTACATCAAAGATGAAGATGGCTTTTGGTCAAAAATCGTTTTTTTTTTTACTTTGAGTTTTCCGTGTTGTTCGCGTGGAATCAAAGGCTCGTGTGCGGTTAGGTAATCGGCGTCGTCTTGCAATAGACGTTTATTATATCGTATCGTGTTGTATTGTATTGTTTTGTTTTGCATGTAAATATGCTGTGGGCATGCGCTGGTGTGGAAACCCTGCGTATTGTACATAGAGGTACATACATGCGAGGGTTTGGGTTGAGCGGTGACAATGGAAAGGGGCAAAAGGGGAAAGGGAAAGAGAAGGGGGGGGATATGATGTGTGTTATTTTATGTAGTGTTGACAAGTACTTACTGTAGAGGCTGGAATAGGAATCTGGATTGCACAGAGGACATGGAGTGGAATTGGCAATTTATTAAGTAGCATGTAATTAATCAACCGGGTTTAATTACTTGACTGGTTTTGCCAACCTGGATATTTACTAAACAGAATACTTGGTTACTTACTCATGCCTCTTTCATTCGCGAAATTTGAATAGAAAATAAATCGTGTCATTAGTATAGGGTACTGCCTACGTACACATGTACTATTTCCGAACCTACGTAGCATGCGACACTTGGAAATTCTTCTTTTCCAAAACCTGCAAGTACTACGCTGTATGTATGATTATTATCATTCTTGTTTCGAAACGAGTGATACACATGTTGTATTCGCGTTGATAAAAGCAAAGAAAGAAAGAAAGAAAAATCATAACACTGCTAGCTTATTGGTATCCAGCGTATGTAACAGGCTAAGTGTATTGGGGCACTTGTCTCAACCGCTGGGTTTTTTGTGTCATGTTGGACATACATATATACTTACGCTCCGGGTACTGTATGTATGTGTATTGCATGCGTTGTGCAAAGCCGCTGCCTGCGTCCGCACGTCAAAATCACGCATACAACGGAAATAGATATGGAGACGCGGCTCAGATATGAGTTGTGTACTTGGTTCTTTGCGTGTGTTAGTAAGCTATCGTGATTCTGGTTGTGCGAGCTACTTATCTTAATGGTACGTGATGCGCGACTACGACGTCATCATTGAGATAAGAAGTATTCACAAGATTCCGCACACTTTTGCTTTTTGTTTGTTTGCTATGGTTGTGGTTTGGGAGTTTAGATATGGGATGGAATGGAATGGGTCATGCAGGCATGTCAGGTATGGGAGAGATAACGCGGTTGAATGGGTTAGAGGGTATGTGTGTGTGTGTGGCGTAAGTGTAGAGGTCCCGTCCCAAACACTACTGATTTCAAAAGAAGAACAAAAAAAACGAAAGGGAATGGTCATTTGAATTCAGAAGGTGTTTATGTACACATACAATCCCTTTGCCATAAGAGAAGAGAAGAGAAGAGAAAAGAAAAAAAATCCGATTAATATTAAACACCCCGTCTTCTTCAAAGGAACCAAGATGCTGTCTATGGACGACTAAGTAGAGCCACACTATCTAGCGCACTATTCAATGCACTACAATGCACTAGCCCCGCCAAAATAGGCATGGCAACAAGGACAACGCATGCTTACATACATACATACATATATATATCCGGTGAACCATGATCCCCAGCGCATACCGTGCACGTCATGTTATCCATTGGATTCCTAGCTCCCGAATAAAACATATTAAGAAATCCAAGAGCCGCCACCGCACACATAACCATTGAGTTTTGTATCATCTAGAACTCTGGTCATACGAAAACAACAAACATGTGCGGCATCACCTGTGCAGTTGCATTACGCGGCCACGGAGCGCTGGCGTCGGAGCGCAACGAGCTGAGCGCAACACTGGAGGCCAGTTTGGATGCAATTCAGCATCGCGGGCCGGACGCACATGGGCATTGGATTAGCGAGGATGGGCGCGTGGGTACGTAGATACTTTATTTGACGTTTGGTTGTTATTTGTTGTTGTTTTCGTGCGACAACAAAAAAAACCAATACATACACATACACGTGACTGATACTTTTGATGCTTCGATGCAGCACTGGGCCACAACCGACTGGCAATAGTAGATTTACGACCAGAAGGCGCACAGCCATTCCACGATGCAGACCACAGTATTCATGCCGTGGTGAACGGAGAGCTGTATGGCTACGAAGAGATTCGCGATCAGCTTGCTCGCGGGGGCTACAAGTTCACGAGCCGCTCCGACTCGGAGATTGCGCTGGCGCTGTATAAGAAGTATGGGCTGGCGTTTTTGTCGCGGCTGCGCGGCGAGTTCTCGCTGTGTTTGTATGATTCTCGCGCTCAGATTGTGGTTGCGGCGTGTGATCGGTATGCGATTAAGCCCATGTATTACACGGTTGTAGATGGGAAATTGCTGGTATGCGTGTATTTCTTGAATTACTTGGAGTGCTTCGATGCTAATTTTCGGGGTAGATTGCGTCAGAGATGAAGGCCTTTCTGGCGTTTGGGTGGAAGCCAGAGTGGGATGTGCAGAGTATCAAGGACGTGGGCTGGCTGTGCGATGGACGCACGACTTTCCGCGGTGTTTCAAAGATCCTGCCTGGACATTACATTGTGTGCAGGTCTTTCGAGACTATAGCTCAGTACAAGTACTGGGATTTACAGTTCAAGGACAAGGTAAGTAAGACTGGCCTGAAGGAAGCACCGCTAACAGCATCTTCAGCGAGAAGTCGAAACACGGAGTGAGGAGGAAATGATTCAAGGCGTTCGCAAACATCTCCTGGATGCTGTTCGAGACCGTCTTCGCGCCGACGTGCCTATTGGCGTCTTCCTCAGTGGCGGCATAGACTCCAGCGCGATAGCAGGAATGATCAAGCATCTGATGGATACCGAAGGCGCACAGCTAGGCACTGCACCCGCATCGGAGCGAATGAATTGCTTCAGCGTCAAGTTTCTGGGTGAAGAACACGATGAAGAGCCCATCGCGCGTCGAACAGCCGAGTGGCTCGGAGTAAAAATGCATCACTGCGAGATGACTGAGGAGAACTTCGCCGCCAACATCGAAGGCGCAGTCTGGCACAACGAGGTCGCTGTGACAGACCTGGGTACGGTTGGAAAGTACCTGCTATCCAAAACGACCAGGGACGAGGGTATTAAAGTCGTCTTGACAGGCGAGGGTTCCGATGAACACTTCGCCGGCTACCGCGAGCTACTGACGGACTTTGTTCGCGAGCCTGATGCCTCATGGCCCAGCACTACGCTTGGAGAAGACGTCCGCATCGCGACTTTCAACGACCTCGAAGGCTCAGAGACGTCGGGGCCAAAAGAACTCACAACCTCCGCTGCAGTCCGCGCCCAAGTAAACAACACCTCGTTCCTTGGCTTCACGCAGACGGCTTCCATCCGCGACGCTCTCTTCGCATCCTGGGTACCCAGTGAGTTTGGCACAAGCGACAAGCGCCTCACAGCCGTCAACGCCCTCGATGGCTGCACCCGCGACCTCATAGCGGACAAATGGCATCCGCTGCACACGTCGCTTTACATCTGGACGAAAACATCCCTCGCAAATGGCCTTCTCACCGTCCTAGGCGATCGCTGCGAAATGGCGCACAGCGTCGAGGGCCGCCAGCCGTTTCTTGATCACCGCCTCACGGAATACGTCATGGCGCTGCCGCCGTCCATGAAACTGCATTACGATCCTGCTACCTGCTCTTTCACCGAGAAGTGGATCCTCAAGGAGGCTATGAAGCCGTTTATCACGCCCGAGCTGTATGCCCGCAAGAAACATCCGTTCTCCGCGCCAGTCCGGTACAAACCAGGTGGTCTTGTGCATGAGTTCTTCGAGAAGCTGATGACACGGGAGAACGTGGAACAGTTGGGCTTCTTGGAATGGGAGAAGTGCAAGAACTTGCTGCACGATGCCATTTATGACGCAGATAGACCGAAATGGAGTCAGATGATCCTCGTGGGGCAGTTTGTCATTTTGAGTAAACGGTTTGGTGTTAAGAAGGCGATGCCCGAGTACGCCCGTTCAAGCGACGTTTAATTTATCATTTCCTCGTCATACATGCCGGTAGCCACCCAATCGTACTATCCATAGATTCTTAACAGTGTCGAGCGTCTTCAATCCCTGTTCCGGCTTGGACTCCATCTCTTGAAGACAAATTCCCGAACCTTGTACTGCTTCAACGCACTCCCAATATCAACCTTGAACCCATCCATATCAGTGGACCTCGTATCCCATGGCTCTGGCACTTCGACGTAGACCAGCATCAGCGTCTTCATGACCTGTGTCTGCACCCGATTGACCCTGTGGAACCACCACCAGTCCTTGCGTTCGTCCATGGTCCTCGGCATGGGCCTACCATCCAGTTGCTTGTTCCAATATGGCGAAGAATAAGACGGGATGATCATGATGGCAAACTCCGCGTGGGTAAATGCAGGTCCGCGCATATAGAGAAGATAATCAACAGCAAACTTGATGCCCGGACGGACAACCCAGCCAAGCGAGCGGAAGTGGTGGAAGACAACATATCTTAGCAAGAAAGGATTGTCTGGGGCAATGGACGGAATGCATGATAGAGCAGGGTCGATTCGAGTGGCGGCCTTGGTCATCTTGTATGCAGTAGAAAGATCTGTCAGGGTCTTCTCGCCATCTATGGTATCGCTGGAAGCTAATGCGTGCGCACAGTAGAGCCGAAACAAGAACCACGCTGGGTATGGCTCAAATTGTTTATCGAACTCGTCACCAACGTTGACCACATCTAGAGCACCAAGGGCATAGGAAAGGAAGAAAGCCTCCTCAGGTGTGAGCTGAAGGTGCTCCAAATCCGGAATATCGATTTCCTCGAGCTTAGCGTTGGCATCGTCTTCTGGCAGCGTGACACTTGCGCCTTGATCTATTGTGGCCTTGACATCGCTAGAGACGGTGGTATCTTTGGCATCATCGTCTACGAGCTGATCAATACCGGCCTCTGGTGCAAGTTTGCCTTCTTGTCGGAGTTGTTGCTCAATAGCTTCACGTTGAGCCTTGGCTCTCTCCAGTTTAAACTGTCTCCGTTCCTCTCGCCTAGATTGCGTGACTTCTGTACTTGTCTTTGACGCCTGTGCTCCTCGCCGGCGCTTCTCGGCGACTAGCCATTGCGGTTCGCTTCGGCTGAGTGAGCCCTTGCCCCAGAAGCCGTGCTCCCAAAGAGCTCGAATTGAAGCCGGGTCGGTGACGTGGATCGACTGAGTCTCTAGAGAGTAGTACGCCTTGTAAACGACGGTAATCGACTTGGGCGGCCAAAGAGACTGCGAAATGAGACCAATGGCGAGTCGCACAATGGAAATTGGATTGTGAGGGACAAATGCAGGCAGTGCATAGGTGTCTAGTGGGAGCGGCTTGGCATGTATCTCATTATAGTTGGGTCTGCGTGGACGAGGTTTCCTCGAAGCACCATTGGCCGGCTTTTCTTGATTTTGCTCAGGCGCACCGACTTGGTGTGCGCTGTTCACAGCGTCAGCCTGCTTAAGCTGAATCGCTTCGGCCATGTCTAGCGACAAGAGCTTGGTGTGAGGAAACTGCGCGAGAATTAGCAACGTGCCATACCAGTTTTCTTCCAACGCGCAGCGAGTATTTCTAAATCAGATACCGTTGTAGTCTATTGTAACGGAAACAGCATCGACAACCTGACGCTGTCAAGTGAATGCCAGCACCGGCGGCCGTATAAGTGAAAAGGTGTCATCATAAAATGGGTGCCCCTCTGGTGCGAAAAAATGCAGTCGCAGCAATCCCACACAACCAAGGTTGCGGGAGTATGCGTGCGCAATATCGGCACCTAGAGTAGCACAAGAGTAGAGAGTGATAGACTTACCCAGTCTCTGCGACGTCACGTAATGGCGTCGTCGATGAGCGTTGAGGGCTTCATGACGATTGTGGTGGAGGCAGAAGTAAAGCTCAAAAAGTTTGGACATGAGTCTTCGCCAAGACCCACCCCGATTGGCCGAGGTCTGTGCTCGACTGTCGACAACGAGATAGCCACCATCAAAGACTCTACAGCCTAGACGGCTTCACGCAATTTTCTCATATGTGCTCCATGACGCCATTCGAATAGCTTCGTCGATCGGAGCCATTCGCTGGCCTAGACTAAGCAAGTGAAGAATCGTCGTTATGACATAATCAGACGAGCTCGAATTCCTCTTAGAATAGTAAACGCATCTCCAACGCCACGCAAGGCGACTAGGCAACGATATTCGTTTGAGCCTGCTTGCTTGATTGTTCACTTACTTTCAAGAGACTTACATAACCAGATACGCATTACAGAACACTCAAGATGCTACCAGCCGCGAGGTGGTTCGCCCGGCCACCGCGACAACTTCTTCGATCGCTCACTACGAAGACACCGTCACTCGTCAATCCTCGTAATCGCTCACCAGCCTGGATACATCGACGAATCGCTGCTGCATACTCGACCAAGTCACCTGGCAACGAGCCATCACCCAATGAACCCCCCAATGGCCCCTCAAAAGTCGATGCCGTGTCCAACGCCCTCGCTACCACGCCCGACTCGGAGAACAACTTCATCACGCCCGTGTACATGCCCGAAGACCCTGATGCGGTGCTCAAACAAACCCACCCCGCTATGCGCCTCCTCGACAACTCCTCGCTCATCGTACAACGGCAGCTTGAGATGATGAACGTACTCATGGGTTTCGAACAGGCAAATCGCTACGTCATCATGGATCCCCACGGCAACCACATTGGCTATTTGGCAGAGCAAGACCACGGCATAGGCAATGCAATGGCGAGACAGATGTTCAAGACACACAGGAGCTTTACCACACATGTCTTCGATCGCGACGAAAAGGAAATACTCAGGTTCCATAGGCCATTTAGCTGGATCAATTCGAGGATCCGCATTTACGACGCTGTAGGACAAGAGGGTGGTGCATATACTAGTTCGGCGAGTTTGCAAGGCACAAGTGCAGCAAGCGTCGCGAACCAGACGAGCGCAAGCGTTTCAACATTACCATTGCAAGACATGAGAATTATAGGGTCTGCGGAGCAGGAATGGGCACCACTGCGACGAAAATACAATCTCTTCGTCGCGAGAAATTTGGAAGACTATCCCGCTGCGCCAGGGACACCACAGATAGCATCTGGCGACGTACCAATCTCAAACTCGACAGCCGTCACAGTAGCGGAGGGTGATGCAAGAGAGGTCGGTATGCTTCAGTTTGCCAGAGTTGACGAGCCGTTTCTTTCCTGGGACTTCAGCTTAATGACCGAAGACGGACGCCTAGCAGGTTCCGTCAATCGTAACTTTGGCGGCTTCGCTCGGGAAATCTTTACTGACACTGGTGTTTATGCGCTTCGAATGGACGCTGCTGGGCTAGCAAGCGAGCCGTCGCATCTTGTCTCGAAAACTGCAGAGCAAAGCAGACCTTCATTGGAACACCACCCAGGCATGACTCTCGATCAGCGAGCTGTCATGCTCGCTACAGCTGTCAGCATCGATTTCGACTACTTCAGCCGGCACAGCGGCTCAGGAGGCATGTGGCCTATGTGGATGCCTTGGTTTGGTGGTAGCGGTGAGGCAGCTGGTGGTGTTGCTGCAGGCGGCGCCGCGGCAGGAGAGGCTGGGGCTGCTGGAGCCGGAGCTGTGGGGGCGGCCAGCGAATCTGGTATTGCCAGTGAAGTTGGGACTGCAGCACGTGGTCTAGGTGCAGGAGAAGGCGCCGCGACAGGTGCTGCAACAATGGCAGGCTACGAGGCTATGCAAAGAGGCAGAGAAGCTGCGCAACAACGCGGGGACGATGCATCGCCACAAGCCACTGACCCGTATCAGCCATATCCTGATGAACAGCCTGGTACAAGTCAAGTTGGCGAAGAAGTCTGGGGCGAACACCAAGACCCTGGGTTTGGATCACGAAGCCAGGATCAAGATTTCTGGGGCGGTCAAGGCGGTCAAGGCGGAGGTGATGCTGGCGGCGGTGATGGCGGAGGGTTTAGCTGGTCTGATATTTTCGGAGAGTAAAAGTTCTTTGCATATATCACTACTTTTCCATGAGCGTAGATACCATAAATCCCACATCTGTATATTAGAATAGTCGTGACGCACATCCGCGCTTGTGCATGTAGCTGTGGTGGAGCCTGCAAATCACTAAACTATACAATCGGAGACAATGACTGTGGAAGAAAAGCCGACTTGTTCTTCCACGACACTAAATTTTTGTACGTATTCTACTCGATTCTTTTTCTTTGAACCCTCACACTTCATACAATATGTGAAAGCAGGCGAACAGCATACCTCAACCCTCGAGATCGCAGGTTCAAGCAAGATTGGTCTAATGTTTCTATTCACGTCCTTGAACCCACCGTTATCTTCAACAAAGAATTATTACTACTGGCTCCTCCTATTCAAAACAATTCATATGACACCAAGCCGGTCGTGTGGATGTTTAGCCGGGAAACATTGGCGTACCCCGCATTCTACCTATCCATCGTAAGTGGCTTTTCCCAAATGGCAAACCATGCCCAAAATGCCCCGCCCATCACCGTTCGGACTCAATTATTCCGTAGACTGCCTATCACTTGACAATCCCTGCATCAAAATGAGATCGATATATACCATAGCCGAGTCCACTGCAGTTATGCAATTGGCAATCAAGTATTTTGTCTTTAATCTTAGTTGGCCGCCATGAAGCCTACTGCCACTCCATGGCTATCGTTGGTATTCTGCACGTTGGTTGTGGAAATACCCACCTCTCCAGAACATCAACAAGGCTCTTTTCGCTGGGAGACTACCAAATCTGTGATAGCTTTCGGCGACAGTTACACATACGTCCAGGGCACGCTCGGCCACCAAAACTACTCTTTTATCGGCGATGAACTGAACCTGGCCTTCACACCAGATCAACTCTTTTCCAACCACATCGTACAGAACCTCACCGGAACGGCGGAAGGCGGCCCAAACTGGGTTGAATTCCTAACCGACTGTGGTGTTGAAGATGGCCTACACAGCCCACAGGATTGCGACATCCAGCTCTGGGGCTTTGCCTACGCGGGCGCCAATACAATCGAAGAAGCTGGCTTCACACCACTTCACCATAACCACACCGTCTCTCTAGAACGCCAGATAGAGCAATTCATCCGCTACGGCAATCTCGCGCTGGAGTCTATTCATCTGAGTAAGAAGCATGCGCTGGTGACAGTCTGGATTGGCATCAACGATATCAACGACCTCGTCAGCACTCAGGGTAAAAACGCAACTTTCGCACCGGCCTACAACAAAGTGCAGGAGAACGTCTTCAAGAGCGTGCAGAAAGTATACGATCTGGGATACATGAACTTCTTATTCATGAACCTCCCGCCTCTGGACCGCGGACCTGGTACACCCAGAGTCAATGCCTCGCTTGTTGAATCTTTCAACAGTATTCAAGAAACCTTTGCCAGCGAATTCGAGGCCAAGAACTGCGACGCAACGGTTATGACATTCGATGTCAATAGCGTGCTGAATTCAGTCCTAGATCATTACCAAGACTACGGATTCAAAAACATTGCGGATTACTGCCCGGGGTTCAATCAGCCAGACATCTTGACTGACCCGGGGAAATACGGATGCACGGAATTGGATACGTACTTTTGGTACAACTCGGGGCATCTCACGAGCCGCGCACATGAGATTATGACTGGCTTTTTGAGGAAGTGGCTGCTGAAGCAATGACGAGAGTTATGTTTGTGTAGCAATCGCATTTTGGATGGTCTTGTAGGTAGATTCCATTAAGAAATGGGGGGAGCAATTTTACAAGCTCTTCAATCATGATAATCTAGGCGAGTATTCAAGGCCAGCGGCTCCGTTGATGTGAGTGACGCTACAGGCGATAGCACAGTGCTTCATAGCGAGGTTGCTTGGAATTTAGAAGTCACACCAGGCAATACGTGATAGCGTGACCTTTGGTTCTAGCCATAGGCTGTCAGGCTAGTGCTATTGGGTCCAGTATTACGTGATTCTTTTTGTACTCGTGCACTGTTCGTGTTGCCTATACAAGATTTAACCTAAAGGGGGTGCCTATTGAGTTCAGGCCATCGGACCAGGCAAAAATTTGACCGAAAACGAAATTGCCAGGTAGAATTAGCGGTTAGGAATGCTAAAGCTCTGTTTGTTAAGAGCTCAGTAAGAAATTGCGTACTTTTTTAATTCCTTTATGATTTTATATCTTACGGCGAAGAGGAGTTATGTATCACTTCTACTAATACATCGACAAAGTTGAGCCGGCTCCTATCGCCTGACAGGTTCACAAATAGATGGAAATCAATTCCTTTACTTGTAAACTTAGTAGGTAATACAAGCCTATTTCACTTTATGCACGAATATTTATAGAAGTGATAGCTGAGTTTGATTTATATAAAAGATAATATCATAGCTCTTAGCAGCTCCCGTAAGCCCATATGGATCTTAGCTTTTGCAGTATTGTATCAATTATCACAATAAGCCACAAAAGCACCTAAGAGGCTAACTCTCGGGCCCCCGTCGAAGACCTGTCGGACAAGGAGAGCTATGGGATCGTAGGGTATATAGTCTCCACCTAAATCTTGGGAGAAACCCTAAGGATTCGTCTTAATTCATACTATACTAATACATTTTCTCCTATCTGCTAAACTACGTCACATCAGCTGTCTTCCAACATACCGTTAATTAGATTTTGATTATTAGTCTGTGTTGCTCCGCTGCTTACGTGTACCCCTCCATAGCAGACATTAGATGAGTCAGCATTGAACCCAATCACGGTACATTCTGGCGATAGCTCCCTAAGTGCAGCCCTCTAAAGTACAGCTGGCTTCGTCATGAGATAGGCTAAACACCTTCTAGCGGAGCTCCTGGATTAAATCTGGGTGCATGATCACGAATCTGGGTGTAGGCTATAGCACCTGGATTCTGCCGATCTGAAATTGGACGCCACGCTCTGACATGGCGCTTGCATCGGCCGAAGAGTTTATTTCTGGCAAAAGTTATTCGTCCTACCACTAAGCCGGTATTTGGCCTACCACTTAGCCGGGGTCTGCATTAGTGCGGGCACATCCAAACTATATGGAGTTAGCACTGTAATATAATGACTTGGCACTCAATTTTGTGACCGACTCAGCAACTGGATGATACCTATCCAGTATAGAAGCTTGGTGTTTTATTTTGGGCGAGCCGCAACTACCGCTCGCGTACGGCTCCGCCTACAGAGGCTTCGCGATAGGGCTTCAAAATGGGCCTCCGGGTGCCCGTTTCGGCCACCTCGACCGCCCGGCTGTCGCGCAACATCCCCATCCTCTATACCACTTGCCTCTCCACCCAAATTTACCGCCAAACTCAGGTGGCGAAAGGCGCGATGATGATTAGGAGCCCTATTACAGTCAGCCAACGCGATCGTCGTACTACGCCAGCCATAGCTTTTTCAGTGAGTAGCTAGGAGCCCGTTTTGGGCTAGTTTTTAGGCTATATAGAACACCAAAAATTGAGCAGTATAGCCAGTTTTTAAGCCTCACTTTTTTTTGCTTCTGCGACTTCCGTTTTAGCTGCGCAACACTATTGAATTTTTATTAACATACTAGCTATCTTTATGCACTAGAACTTACTACGGCACAGCTATATTACAGTAAGTAATATAAAATACTGCCAATGTTTTAGCCAAGCCCACTAATGCAGACCCCTGCTAAGTGGTAGGCCAAATAGCCGCTTAGTGGTAGGACGAATAACTTTTGCCTTTATTTCTTTGATCGGTACGGAAATATAAGCACCTAAGTAGGTAGTTGCTAGCTCTCTATCGAATCACAAGTATCTTACACCTCGTATTACCTTTGGCCAAGCGCCCTCTTGAGACCAGCCGCTTACAGCGGGGTTTATATCAACTGAATCAGGGCCGATTAAGCTATGAATAGCGTGTAAGATTGAAGTATATATACCCCTTCCCAAGTCAATTAGACACATAGAAAAATTACAAACAAAGCATCTTTCATTTACTACACATCATCCTCGCTACACCTACACTTCCAAACATCACTTCAACCATTGTATACACATACCCACTTTACGATGAAGCTTTCTATAGCTATAGCCGCAGCTATAGCTAGCGTCGTGTCCGCCGCCGATTACTGGTATTTACTCCATGTCGAGCCTTGTCAAAATGTCATAGTAGCCACCAAGGAATTTAAACTCGCTCCCAACGAGATGCGTAATGTCGGAACTGTTTTAAATAGAGCTGCCTGTAAAGTTCGCCTTGTCAGCGTATCACCCGGCGTCAACCCAAACACTGTTTATTGCATGACCTACAGGGATGGAAACAATGCCGGTACACCTCTCTTCAAAGGTGGACAAAGTATGGAGAATGGGAAAACTGTTGTCTCGCCACCATTTCGGGGCCTCTTCTGTGGTGGGGGGGATCCCTGAATCTAGTAGTTCGTGCCACTATCAGATTCTGGGGGAAAAGAGTTATAGTAGTAGTACAAATAACAATCAGTTCGATATAGATCCCAATAAGCCAGTGCCGCACTCTTGATTGTTTACTTAAAACCATGTAGGTTTAGATAGAATTAATTCACTATCATCGACATTATCTCGTTTGCTTACACCAAGTCTATTAGGCAAGATACAGACGATTACAGATAATTGTGAAGGGCTTAGGTATAGCCTAAGCCTAAGGTAGGCAAAGGAACATAGTAGGAAAGGTTTAGGGCGAAGAGTAAAGTAATTAATTAAGAGAAGAGGGAGTACTTCTCATATGAATATGCTATTATTGGTTTTAGTATATTCACTACTTAAATCACCCCATAACGAATTTACCATAGATGTGCAGACTATCAGTAGTCCTCCATTTCCCTCCAAGCCAAATCTCTTCCCCAGTCCAAACATGCACGCCCAGCTCTTGCATGCCGCACTTTACCATGACACGTCTGCTAGCCGGGTTCTCGGCATTTACAACTGCTCTAACGAAAACTTTGTCATGGTTGTCCCGAAACGTCTGCTCGTTCTGGCAAGCGTCAAGAATTGCTGTTATGGATTCTGTTGCGAAGCCCTTGCCCCATGCAGCGGGCATGAATTGATCACCAAGTTCCATACTGAGACATCCAGCTTCGTAGATGGATTCAGGGAAAAAAGAAGCTGCTATATGAAGATCGTTTGGACCGAGAGAGCGGAGAGTAATGAGCCCAATGAAGCGAGTCGGGGTGCTTTCTTGGCTTGCTGGGTTGCGGTCGGGGGCGAGCAACTCATGGACGGCGTAGACTATCCTGTATGGTTTTGCATCGCCTTCATTGACTGTCGTTGGCAACACTCCCTTCATGGCCTTTTCGGTGTCTTCGATGGTCTTTGACTGGCCGAAGATACTTTGGAAGGTCAGCGAATGTTTCATTAAGTCTTTGCTATTCCAGACGTAGAAAAAGGGCAGCAAACTGGAGAATTGATAGAAAGTAATGACTCACCTCCACCATGTCGCCTTCTCATCACTGCGCACCTCGTGTAGCCACTCAAGTTCCTGACTGCCTCTCTCCGCTGTTGTGATGAGCGTCAATTTCAAATGTGGAGTGAAAAAGGTTTCCTTCATGATTTTTCAGTTCAGGAGGAGTTGAATGGTTGTGATTTCAGCACATCAGAATAGGATGACTATATATAATACCTCTGGGCGTAAGGCAGCCACATCGGAATACATTGTCATGTAGCGTCCAATCGGCGTTTGAGAAACTCGGTAAGCGTTGAAAGCGGTAAGGTGCAGGAATTGGGCCTTTCAATCTGGGCTAGTCATTCCGAGATCTAAACTTATCGGTATTCTAGAATTATTGGTGAATACCAAACTCAGAGGTATATCACGGTTGGGTTCATGGTAAGTTAGGCTGGCATTGTATACGTGTAGATCACTGCCGACGGCCTTGGCCATTCATTCAATCAACCGCGCAAACTCAACCCAAATGACACCTTTGTACGCAGTGACTACGTAGTGACTTGTGGAGCAGTATTTGATATTAAATCTAAAGTTGGAATAGAAGAGGCATCAAGAAACATGTCATAGTCACATTACAGTGCGTTGTGGTTTGGGCTGCGAACGCTTTTGGCTGTTATCAACAACTCAGTTCAATAATAAATCTGTCAAATTGACACAGGCAAAGTTGGAACGAATTAAAATTAAAGAAAACGTGCTGTGCAGTATGTAAAGTCGATACCTGTCGAGGCGTGGATGATTGGCTGGCAATGTCTTGGCACTCCCGAATCTCCGACCGAACTTTTGGCACCACCACAACCACAGTCGCCGTCTCCAAAGTACCAATGGCACACCCACGATCGTTAATAGCTCCATTGAGCAGACTTTCCACTTCGTCCATTGCGGCCACGAGACCAGAAGTTCCGCGCATTGCCTCGATACCACTCCAGACGATAAGATGCGCAGCCACCAAAGCAAAAACCCAGAAAAAGAAGAAGGCGCGGAACACCTTCTTGCAATATGACTTGAAGAGGGCAGATAAATTTTCGCTGATAGATGCGATGCAGTAAGTTGCGGAATTGCGGTTTGTAAGAGCAATGGCTAATTGAGAACAGATACATCCGCGCCTTTGAAGTAGGCCGCAACCCCTCCTCCTCCAAGTATGAGATGCACGTTCGCCTACGCACCCTGAAAAACGGCCCCGTAGTCCGAAACCGCTTACGACTCCCGCACCCCGTCAAGACCGACATACGGATTTGCGTCATCGCAGCGCCCGACTCAAAAGCCGCCGCTGAAGCTCGCGCTGCGGGCGCCGCGCTTGTTGGCGAGGACGAGATCTTCAACCAGATCAAGGAGGGCATTGTCGAATTCGACAGATGCATATGCCATATCGACAGTCTGCAGAAGATGAACAAGGCGGGGCTGGGACGAGTACTAGGTCCCAAGGGCTTAATGCCCAGCACAAAGACCGGCACAGTAGTCACGCAAGTGGGAACCAGTGTGAGGAATATGGTGGGCGGAAGCGAGTATAGGGAGCGTCTGGGCGTGGTGCGCATGGCAGTCGGACAGTTGGGATTCACGCCCGAAGAGATGCAAAGGAATATCAAGGCATTTATGGAGGCGCTGAAGAAGGACATGGGACAATTGAGCGATAAGATCAGCAAAGAAATTCACGAGGTGGTGCTCAGCTCGACAAATGCGCCTGGCTTTACGCTGAGCGGAGAGTATAGAGGACCGAATTCGATAGCGCCAAAGGAGTTGAGCGGGCCTTTGTAAATGTAGCCGCTGGGATGTATGAACAATGTACCATACAGAACGCCGTCGCCATGCTGGTGTGTCAAATATGCGCATTATGATTATTTCAGTGTTTTGAGGACCTTGACTGCTTCTGCCGACTCGTCCATGTCTCCGTATATCTTCATGATCTTCATGACGCGCCCTGCTCCCTGCGCTCCCTTTCTCTTAGCCTGCCGGAGTGCCGTACTCAAATCCATCAGCAATGTAGTCCGCACCTTTGTTTTCCTCAAAGCCTGCGCCGCAACAAATGGATGTTCGCCCAATTCTTTCTCCAAACCCAACACCAGCTGATACTGTACTACGTTTCGTCTTAGCTTTGCGACAGAAACGCTGTAGCCCTCCTCTTCTTCGTCTTCGTCTTCATCCTCGTCGCTATCCGAGACCTCGCCTGCCAGGTTCGTGGCCTCTTGTCCAGGAGTGTCTATCAGGAGCTCAGCCTCCAATTCTTTGAGTCTAGCATCGTAGTCTATGAGCCGTCGCCCAACCTCAATTTTGCGCCTAACGTCGCGCTTCTCCTCTAGCAGCTCGCCGACCTCTTTCTCTCTCTGCCCCACTACACCCATCAAGCCATCAATCTCTTTCCTGAACCCCAACAAACCCACTCGCACCTCCTCGACCTTTTCCTCGCCGCCATGCAGACTGTTTCCCAGATTCAAGAAGTCCTGATAGTTTGAATTGACCAGGTCCAGGAGCTCTTTGGAGAGGAGCTGCGATCGCGCGCGCAGTTCGGAGCGCAGGTCCTCGAGCGTCTGGTGTCTGTTGTGCAGGGTGGAAAGATAGGTCGCGGGGGAGAAGTCCGGGACAAGGAAGTCTGAGCGGCGGAGCGGCGTCGCAAAAGGGAGGGAGGCGATGTTGTCGTCGTCATCGTCGCTGGAAGCCGAGCGCGAGGCCTCGCCAAACTATCCGACGTGTCAGTCGCAAGAATTTCCTCTTTTTTGGCGCACTGTCGTGAAGAACAGCAGCGTGCATGCATACCTGGAATTGACTCATGGCTGCCGGCGTGCTCGCATCTAGCTCGTGCGGGCGCCCCCGTGTTGCCAGAAGTCCAAATAAGCTAATCGATAAGCCTCGGAACGGGGACCGAGGCGTCGGAACGGCGTTGGTACATTGCCGCACCGCGGTTTGTCATACAAGCACAACTGCCGGTTAGCGGCTCCCCTCCGTGGGGCAAAGGCGGCTCGAGTGCATACGTCAGTTGCCATTGTGTTTTCATATTTGACGCTCGTCTTGCTAATACCTTGTTTCGTCCTAGTTCTGGCCTAACGTTTGCGTTTAAAGTTTGTCCCGGTTTACCTTAACACTGGTAATAAGTCGCTACCTAAGTACCTGTAGTCTAGTACCATGCCACCGCAGCCGGAGCTTCCTGAGCCGGCACACCCAGGAGTTGATTCGATGCTGAGCCGCAAATTCGGAAAGGAGATTGCTAATTACTTCTCTGGTGCGTGTGCACGTTCGCTGGCTGCTGCTAGGGGCCCTTATCGCTGACCATGGCATGCAGGGTCCCCGTTGAACCGCGTGGGCTTCCTCCGTCCTGACCACCAATTCCTCTCGTCCGCACTACATCACCCCTCTACCACATTTCTGCTCTTCAACACGCTCGAGCCGCTCGTGAAGTCGGGCACTGAGCTCGCGCGCTGCAGCTTCGCCGATGTAGAGCCTATCATTGGCGAGAACCCGTTCGACAAGTCCGAAGACGACCTTATCGCCCAGTACAACTCGAGTTTGTATATTCCGCAGGTCATATTCCTGGGCCTTGAGGAGAGAAAGGAGGGCTTCGTATACAAAGATCACTACAAGGGCCAGCCTTGGTTTGCAGTCGATGTCACGCCGCAGGAGAGCGTAAAGGAAAAGGCGGAGGAGTTGATCCAGAAGATGAAAGAGCAGGGATTGGATTTCAGCAAGGGCAGGATGCACTTGAATTTGCCGCCCGAGGAAGGTATGCAGGATTTGTCTCTTAATCATCCGCATTTTAAACCCACGGCATAACGTTGACTGACATGCGCCAGCGGCCATCTATGCCGAGGCCCGCCACCTGCTCGACTGGAACGCGCGGAACCCCTTCTGCGCCTCTTGCGGCTACAAGACTCTGTCTGTTAATGCTGGCTTCAAGCGCACGTGTCCGCCAAAGGACATTGCATCCAGTGTCAACCAAGGCGAGCGCCCGCCCTGCGCAACCCGCACCGGCATCTCAAACCTGTGCTTCCCGCGTACAGACCCTACCGTCATCATGGCGGTAGTATCTGCCGACGGCCAAAAGATTCTACTAGGCCGTCAGAAGCGCTGGCCGCCGAACTGGTACTCGACGCTAGCTGGATTCCTCGAACCAGCTGAGAGCGTCGAGGAAGCTGTTCGTCGCGAGGTCTGGGAAGAATCGGGCATTCACCTTGGTCGCGTCGTCATCCACTCTACTCAGCCCTGGCCTTACCCGGCCAACCTCATGATTGGCGCGGTTGGCCAGGCAATTCCAGAAGGAGAGACGATCCATCTGGGACATGACGCCGAGTTGGAGGACGCCAAGTGGTTCACTACTGAGGAGGTTAGGGAGGCGTTGCGCGTCGGCACTAGCGGGCTGGGAGAGGGTCCAGGGTCAGAGTATAAGGAGGGTGGATTGAGGTTGCCGCCCAGGACGGCGATTGCAAATCAGCTTATGACTGCTGTTGTCAACGGATTCGCGAGCGGAAGCCCCATGATTTAAGTTTGCAGGTTCAGTCTTAGTAGAGCGATCGTGCGGTGTAGTTGTACATGTAAATGTATAGAATGTGGTCTGGGGGATAGACGCATAGGTGTTATTATACACTGGATATTTTGCGCTTTCTACATGGCATCTACTCCAGTACAATGTACCTGCGTAGGTGTTCGGGTATCGCATCGTACAAGTTCTTCTGCTCCAGCCACTTCTTGGAGAACAGACGGTCGGCATACCGGTACGCACCATCACACAGCAGTGTCACGACGGTTGATCCCTTGCCCATCTTCTCAGCCACTTCCTTTGCCGCGACAACGTTCAGGCATGAGCTTGCGCCCAGGTAGAGTCCCTCCTCATCCAGACACCTGTATACCATTTCGATGGTCTTCTCGTCGCTGATATGGACGGAGTCGTCAATAAGGTCAATGTCCGGCTTCAAGTTGTCTGTCACACGGCCTTGCCCGATACCCTCTGTTATGGAACCACCAGCTCTCTCTGTGAGCTTGCCGCCACTTTGGATGTAAGAATGCAGCACTGATCCCGGCGGGTCCGCCAAAAAGCACTTGACCCTTCCTTCGCTCTTCTCCTTGAGATATCTCGTCACACCCGCCAGACTACCTCCGGTGCCTGTGGCGCAAGTGAAAGCATCCAGCTTGCCTCCTGTCTGGGCCCAGATTTCTGGGCCGGTAGTCTCGATATGCGCCTGTCGGTTCGCCACATTGTCAAACTGGTTTGTCCACACGGCGTTTTCCAGCCTTTCGGCGTGGCGCTTTGCCTGGTGGTTGTAGTTTTCTGGGTTTTCGAATGGCACGGCCGGCACTGGGTACACCTCGGCTCCCAACAGCCTCAAAAGATCAATCTTGCCCTGCGACTGGGTATTGGGCATATAGATGACCAGACGGTACCCCTTTGAGCGGCACACATGCGCAAGACCAATGCCAGTGTTGCCGGCTGTTCCTTCAATGACGGTGCCGCCGGGCTTGAGGAGACCCTGGCGCTCGGCATTCTCCACGACGAAGAGGGCAGCGCGGTCCTTTACAGAGCCGCCTGGGTTCTGGAACTCTGCTTTTCCAAGAACATTGCAGCCGGTTTCCTCGGATAGTCTCTTCAGACGGATCAGAGGCGTCTTGCCAATTGCTGGAAACATGTGTCAGCATGATTGTTCCCAGGTCTCGCAGTGGACATGTTACCGTCGAGGAAGCCCCGCTGGCCAATGCCCTGAGCTTTGGAGATGTTGATGGCCGTCTGCTGAGCTTCTACCGAGCCAATGTTCTGTGCGCTCCGCCGCGCAGAAGTCGCGAAGCCTCGCACAGCTGTCCGCAACATTTTTGCCGTGGTAGAATTGCCTGGCAAAGTTGAGCGGGCGAGGTTCACTTTCAAGACTGGCGATGATGCCATCGGCTGGTCGGCGAATCAACGCGCTTTCGCCCGATGTCGCCGCTGCCGGTGGGTCCCTGCCGCGGCACCCCTGCACCCACGAGCCGTTGCCGCGCGGGGGTGCGTAAACAACAACACCGACGCTTGATGCCATGCCGTGCCCATACTAGACGACCACACACCCCGCTAACCACACAGCAAACATGCCCGGACGTCCCTCAACACGCGCCCCGCGTGGCTCCGCTACATCGGCCGCCCGCAAGGCGAGCGGTGCCACGACCAGATCAACGCGCGCATCCGCAAACACAGTCGAAATCCCCGACGAAGGCCCCATCACAACACTCCGTACACAGATTGCCCAGGTCTTTGGCGATGCACAAAAGACGACTGCCACGCAACGGAAGCTGGTGGTCAACCTGAGAAAGATCCAGGAAGCATGCTGCTTCGAGCCCCCCGACACGGGCAAGAAGGGCGGCAAAGGCAAAGAGGAGCACGAAGACTTTGACGAGGAGGAATTCAATGCAGAGGTCGTGCGCTGCTTGCTGAGGATCATGTGCATCAAGAAGAGCGAGCCTGTGGGAGACCGGGTGATTCGCTTCTTGGGCATCTTCTTGAAGCATGCGTCAGACAAAGGTTGGTTACACACCATGCGCCAAAGAAAACATGTGCTCACCAACTGCAGATCAACAGATTTTTGCTGCCGAATCCGACGAGGATGCCACGGCCTTTCATGAGACGCCCACTAGCAGACTGACATCCCACATCCTCACTACGATCCTGGGCCTTTTGACTGCCAAAGACAAGACGGTCCGGTTCCGAGCCACGCAGACGGTAGCACACATTGTCAACAGCCTTACTACAATCGACGACGACATCTTCAACCTCATAAGATTGGGTTTCCTGAAGCGTCTGCGAGACAAGGAACCGTCGGTGCGTGTTCAAGCCATCCTCGGTCTAGGTCGACTGGCCGGCAACGATGACGAAGAGCAAGAAGACGAAGACAGTGACGACGAAGCCGCGGGCGGTATTCTGGACAAGCTTCTGGACATTATGATTAACGATCCAAGTGCCGAAGTGCGACGTGCTGTGCTGCTGAACCTGCCGCTTTGGCCATCAACCCTGCGATACATTCTGGAACGAGCTCGCGATATGGACGCGACCACTCGAAGACTAGTCTACGGCAAGATTCTGCCAGCATTGGGTGACTTCCGACACATGTCGCTGGTGGAACGAGAAAAGCTGATTCGATGGGGTCTTCGGGATCGAGACGACATCGTTCGCAAGGCTGCTGCAACTCTGTTCCGCGAGCGCTGGCTTGAGGACTGTGCTTCCTCACGGGATACCCGGCCTGAAGAGGAGAAGAAGCCCGGTGATGTTGCACCGCCCAGCCTAGAGGCACTATGCGAGCTATTGGAACGCATCGACGTCACCAGGTCTGGAGAGGAAGACGGTATGGCTCATGAAGCCATGCGCCAGTTCTGGGATGGTCGTCCGGACTACCGCAGAGATATTACATTCGATCACGAGTTTTGGAACAATCTCGATGCGCAAACGGCCTTTATTGCACGCACGCTCAACGACTACAGCCAGAGCACCGACGACGAGAGAATTCAGAGCATGATCGAGGACAAGATGCCCGAAGTTACCATGTTTGCTTTTGTTCTACAGCGCGAGCTCAATTCTCTTATGGAGCTAGTTGACAAGGTCGCAATGATGGAGGAGGACGATCCAGAGATCGAGGAAGCCCAGGAGGACGTCGAGGAGCAGGACTTTGTTGTCCAGCAGTTACTCCATATTGCCAACACACTTGACTACACCGATGAGATGGGCCGAAGGCAAATGTACAACATTATGCGCGAGGCCATTTCCAAGGCTCAATTGCCCGAAGAGTGCACCAAGCTCTCGATTGAGGTTCTACGAAAGGTTTGCGGTAGCCGAGGCGAGTCAGACTTCTGTGCTCTGATTGTCGAAGCCATTGCCGACGTTCGCGACTCTCTCCTGGACGCCGACGACGCTACTGCGACTGGCGAAAATGCCGAAGAGAGTTTCCACTCTGCACAATCAGACGTGGACATGGATGCTCCTATGATCAAGTCCAAGAGCGCCAGGGCCGCGGAAAATCTCACTGAAGAGGAGAAGGAGGAGCGGCAAATCCGAGAGGTCATGGTGTACTCCAAGTGCCTGCATATCGCACAATGCACGCTTCAGAATGTGGAGGGTGATCTGGAGTCTGATACATCGCTCACAAACATTCTGAACACACTCATTATTCCGGCTGTACAGGCTCACCAAGCGATGATCCGAGAACGAGGAGTTATCTGCCTAGGTCTAGCTGCCCTCCTTAGCAAAGTAAGTCACAGCCGGCATCTGTTATAGGAAAATATTGACAAGGACCAGGATCTCGCGAGTAACAATCTCGACCTCTTTTTCCACTGCTTCACAAAGGGCCACGACGCGCTCAAGGAGATTGTCATTCAAGTGCTCACAGACGTCATCATCACTCACCCACAGCTTCTCACGCCCACTGTGCCCGACCCAGACGCCGAGACTGAAGATGCCGAGCCCATTACAAACCCACGCATCCGCCCTATTACGAAGATCCTACTCAAGGCCTTCACCTCGGACAATAAGCGCATTAGCTTGATTGCGTGCACTGCTGCCTCAAAGATGCTGCTACTGGGTATCCTGCCACCGCAGCCTACAGCCGAAATCCTCAAAGCCTTTACATTGATCTACTTTTATCCTGAGACAGCCTCAAACCCAGCTCTGCGGCAAGCACTCAGCTACTTCCTCCCCGTCTTCTGCCACAGCAAGCTGAAGAACGCCAAGCTCATGGGCGAGATTGCCGTCCCCATCATCTCCAAGCTGCTAATCATGCGGGACGAGAATGTCGAAGAAGAAGACGTCGACGAGATGGTCGGCTGGCCCGTCATCACAGCCCATCTGTCGGAATGGACCGACGGGCGTAAAGTAGTAGGCGCGACTGAACTTGGGCTCGACGGCAAAACGAGCACAACAGCCGAGGCCGAGGAACCCCATGTACAGCTTGCGATTGAGATCCTCGAACGCGCATTAACAAGCACATGTTCGAAAGACGAGCGCAAGCCGCTCCTTTCGCTGCTCTCAAAACTTTTCATCGCGCCAACTGGCACAAGCCACAAGAGCGACTCAGGCGCCATAGACGAAGAGCCCCTCCACACGCTGCACGGCCTCGTGTCGGAAGCCGTCGAAGCCAAACTCGGGGCCGACGCCACGCAGCGCAATGCCCTGGCCAAGCTGGAAGCCAGTCTCACCAAGCGCCTGGGCGAAATGGGCAACGCGACTCAGGCGCACGACGACGAGGCCGAGCGTACGGCTACGCCCGAAACAACGGTTGTGCGCGAGCCCATGGAAGACGAGACCGAGGCTGACGAGGCGACTGAGGTGCGTCCGCAGCGGAGGGTGCCACCGGTCAAGAAGGGGGTTAAGCGTGAGGAAAACGATGACGATGATGATGACGAAGAGGAAGAGGAAGAAGACACGATGCTGGCGGGTATGCAGGGCGAAGGTACACGCATGCCGCTTGAAGAAGGCGAATCCGAAGAGGATGAAGAGGATGATGACGAAGATGAAGATGAGGCACAAGAGCAATCCATGGCGGAACACAGTACGCTGATTGTAGGTCGGGACGATAGGAAACGGAGCAATATGGTGACGGAAGAGGATATCATGGAGAGTTTGTTGCAGAGTGAGATGGAGCATTCTGCGTAAGCTTTTTTTTTTCTTTATTTCTGTATTCTTCTTCTTCTTCTACTTCGCTTTGGCTAGGGATAGGATGACATGGCATGGCATGGAGAGAAACGTGTGTTAACGAGTTTATGTATAACCCTCTCTTACTTATGATATGAATATGAATATGATGATATCCCTGTTATTTGCTTCCCCATCTACCCGTTCCGTATGGAGTGGTGTGGCACATGGCAAACAATTGGCGTGAACCAACCCACAGATTTGATCCGAGTCTTTGAATTCGGTAATTTAATAAAAACCTTTTATTCTCTTTCTTGCTTTCTATTCGCTGTACTAGAACTATTCGATTGCTGGCTGAAGGACTGGAAAGAGGGTATATAACCATTGCTGCTTCGCTGTAAGTATGTATGCAAAAAAAAAAAAAAAAAAAAAAAAAACAGTTGTCCCCAAAACAAAAACCCGTAAGTGACAAAAAAACAGACAAGACACAAAGACATGGCGCCGGCCCATGGAAGCGCCAAATCGAAGCCTCAAAATGCAATCCCCAAAAATTGCTCCATCTCTGAATCTCCATCTCCATGTCCATCGGCACATCTATCTTAAGAGAGAGAGAGAAAAAAAAAAGTGTAAGAAAAACTCTCGACATTACGAGAATCATTAGTAGTAACGAGAAAGAAAAAAAAATCAAGCGCTTTCCTCAGGGTATGTTCATCATGGCGGCAATAGTGTTTTTTTGTTTGTTTCTTGTTTTAGTTTTTTGTGTCGTTCATGCGAGCGGCATATCCGATGTGTTGATGCGGCCAAAGACGTCGTAGTACCAGGCTCTAATTTTCTTGCAAGTTTCGCCGTCGGGGTTCTCTCTGCATCCCTCTTCGATGACGACTTCCCAGACTCGTTGCTCAATGTCGTAGCCAATGTCCTTTTCCATGTTTTCTTTCTTGCCCCACATTCTATGCGGAGAGCCGTCGGCCTCGTACAGCTTGCTGTCGCCTATGACGGTTGCGGGATCCAGCTTCAATGTGTTTTGGTGGATGAAGAGGGGACGGGGCTTGGTGGGGATTTTGAGAGCACGGTTGCGTTGCTTCTTGGATGAATCGGCGTTTTCAAGGTCGGCGTCTTGCCAGAATGCCTGGTCGTGAATGTGGTTGCGCATTGGGGGCAGGTATTTGTAGTCGAAGAAAGGGGTCCGCTTGTCC